AGAACCATTCTACTACTTAAATCATGTCCAAATGAAAAGAATAATATGTTCATAATTGCCACACTGAGAAACTGCCACACAAAATGGCCGCAGAGCACATCGATAATCCCATTGCCGGTATTAGTTAAATACATGTCTTTATGCCGAATATTTTGAAATTTTGTTAAGTATTGTCTGTAAATGAAGTTGAAAAATGTCAAGTAGGCCTTAGTCGAGGACTTGAGCTGTCTTCAAAGTCCTTGAAACTTTAAATTCTCTGAAAAATTTCCTCGAAGGGCAGTGGTTGCGCACTAGTCATTTCTAAGTAGTTATTTGTCGTTTTAATCTGCAGGACTAAGGCACCGTATGGCTGAAGGTTGCAAAGAGGTCGAGGAGTCGTCCACAAGCAAATTCAGGAGGCGGGCTCTCACTTTTTTCCAGAGGCTGCGACATCCCCACAAAGCAACAAGTAAAACATCACAGGACATAGTCGCACAGCCAACTGATGATCATGGTTTCTCAGTCTTTGTTCATGCCACTCAGCGTATGTGCCAATATCACAAACTGTTTACTGTTCTCTGGTGTGTACAACTTGCTGATTTTGAGGCATTTCCGAGTCTCAACTCATGCTGCTCTAATATTGAGGACATTTAAAATTTTTCAAAGTTATATTATTAAGCTACGCATGTCATTAGCGGCATACAGTGCATTTACTTGCGCACAAGTCCCTGTGCTCTTATCTCCTAGTCTTTTTCCAGGATTGGTGATACGAGGGCATTAGGAATGCATTCTTGGTGATGCCATCTTACCACTTTTCTACCAGCCTCATTTCGAGAAATGCAGTAGAATCTAGGCTAGAAGTACTACAGTAAATCCACTTACTCTTTGGAATTGATTTCTTAAAACAATTTAAATTACAAACTTACCCTAAATCCAATGCATATTATTAGATTTATCAATATAAATTACAATTGCAACTTCATAACCCTACTAACAAAATTGCGCGTCTTGTTGATCCCCCCTTAGTCAATGCCCTTCTTACACCTTAAGTCCTTCCGTTTATTTATACCGTTCTGGTCAGTCTTGTGTCGTTGTTTCCACGGTGCAGCGTTCGGTTGGTCATAGCAAGTCCCACTGACAAAACCAGAAGCTCTATCCACTTTGAGCTTGTCCTCTGAACGACTAGTGGTCAAGACTCTTGATCAGCCTAAAAAAGATCGGTGTTGATAATGAACGAACAATACATCGGTATGGTAATAATATTACAAATATTTAAGTTTAGCCCTGCAGTGCTTTTCATTATCGAAGAACTCTGGAATGGTAGGCTATAACTCCAAGTTCCTGGACATCCTGGTTCTAGTTTCGTCAATGTTTTGACTTTACTCTCAACTCGATTTATGTTATAATGGACTAAACAGAAGATATTCAGTTAACTCGATGCTCGAACTACATAGTGAACTCAGTAAATGATTTTGATCTCTTCCCGTGTTTACTATCAAATACCCGTATGGTGTGCAACTGAGCTTGGCCTGAAACATGCTTTAGCCCTGATCTGATTGAGTTACGTAGGAATGCACTTGTTGGTTTGGCCTCGGTAACTCGAAATTCGTCAGTTCTTTGATACCAACTTTTAAGCGCATCAATTTAGTTTTCAACGTGGTAAGTAGAACAGTGAAATTCCCTTTAACATTCCCCTTCACATTATTCAGGCATTTTTGAGCAGATCAGGCTCATTGTAATCTCCTTTTTAAGTGTCACTATGCGATTTCTGGTGTTGGTTTTTCTTCCTTTAGTTGATTCTCTTGGTGTTAATAGCGAGGGAACTGGGGATGAAAATCTGCCTGAGACGTCTTTGAATCAAACTGTTGTCGAAAGTTCAGGTGAGGCTTAAAACATGCTTTTTATTAGGCTTAATAAAGGCCAAATGGGCTTTTTCTTGAAATATCATCCCCATACCAAGTAATTCAAAAAAAACAAAACTATATTGAATATTTAGTTGCGAATTCTACATCATCAAATTTGCGAAATATCTCAGCGATGGGTATTACACAAATGACTTTTAACTTGCAAGTGTGTCAAAGTCATTTTGCTAAACTTTGATTCATGCACTTTGATGTTATTGGTGCATATAAACCAAAGAATCAGTTTAACTTGAGGGCTGTGCGATGCAAAATACTTTCGAATGATATCAGCGTTTACAGCAAACGACATTGCTTGATTTTCAAAATATCGAACTTAGACCATGTAACCACCCTATCATGATCGCAGAGAATAGAAAAATCCATAGAAAAGTGTGATGACCTGGCACCAGCATAACAATTGAAATTCAAAGATATTTATATGCACTTAAGTAATTATAATTTTGACTAAAGAACTAAACCACCCTGTAAAGTTTATCCATATCGACGATGACAATACCACCGAGCGTGTTTGCGGGGTTAATGAGCAATAATTATTTGTGGTTAATCGTAATAACACAGGCTTACATAAATTTAAGACAAGAAGGTTGTTATACCTTTTTAGACGACTGTCAATATTCATGCATTCGCCACATCCGGCTCTAATCGAATGCCATTCATTTGGTCGTTTTTGAAACACTCTAAATAGCTACATCTGATAAATGTATATGTCATTTTTTCAAACTGGTTTTGGAGTTAAAAAATACGTGGTGTGGCCTAAAAGCAATCAGACCCTAGTTATTACTACAAACACCTGATAAATAGAATAAGATTGAATCACCACTGAAGGATGTTGAATCCGTATTACGTACAATTTTTTTTAAAATATTGCTAAATTGCTGAGTAAAGGTTTGTTCTATTTGCTTGCAACTATAACTAAGATCTGGTTGCGTCTAGCCCACCTTGCACTGTAGGTACGCAATTTAGAGGTCCCCGAAAATCTGTACAGTAATGAAACAAACTGAGACATGATTGTTACGTGCAAGGGGTCAATCGGTTTTGGCAAAAATTTCACGAAGAACGATGCGAACAATTTGTTTTCAACCGAACAAGTCTCACGATTTTACTTGTAGGGCCAGGCTTAGGATCTGACTGCTCCAGTTCCGCACAAACGCCGATAGCGAGAGCCAACACTGTTGACATCAAGGTATGCAGCAAATACTGTGTCACCCTGTCCACCAAGTCTGTAATTCACCTTCTTCATTCGTGATGATGCATCGAAAGATGATGCTACTTTCTCAAACTTTGACTTGATTTTTTGTATGCTGTGATACAAATAAGGTTACAACAACTTTCATAGATTATAAAAATGAATTCACTGTCATACTGTGTATGTCAGTACTATTGTAGATTTCTCGCTTTTAGGCTATCTAATTCTTACGGAATGTTGTCTTTTATTACAAATGTTAATTAATTTATTGATTTTATCCCAAGTCCCTTGGCCTCTCGGTCTGCATAATTTAATAACTGGTTTTGTTCTGTGTTATCTCTCCTCTTTTTAGCGCACTTTAATGACATGTACTCCGTAGGTGACCCGTAGAAATAATTTGAACATCTGAGGACAATTTCCAATAGTCTTAGGTCCTAAAGCCTAGGTGCTGACACAAACAGCGCTCTTTTGTTCAAGCCCAAGTCAACTGCTTTGGGCGTGTTCCTTAAGGAGAATGTGTACAAGTTCGAGCGTGCGGCATATGTGTATTACCGCATCCGCTCGAACTAGGACAAGATCAGGCCACCACGACCATTGAAAGACAGGTCCAGCGAAGCGGTTGAATAAGCACAGAGCAACACATTAACTAGTGTGTCAGATCTCACTCATAGTCAATACAATGGAAGTAACTGTAACCGTTTGGACAAGCTATGATTGGGAGCAGACCTACAGAAATCACGTGTATTTTGGAGAAGCCAACCTTCGGCAATGTTCAATTTTGAACTTGCTTAATATCTCTCCGTTGCTTGCGGATTTTGCAGTTTCGTCGAAACTATCATTTGTTTCAGTTAACCCGCGATTTTGTGTTACAAAAGGCTTTTACTTCAATACGGGTTAGGCTAAGCCTCTGCTTGCAAAATTTCTGAGAGATGTTTTCGTTTTGTTTCAACATTTACACCGTTCTAGCAGAATGCAGCCATCAAAGTCTACAGCAAAATGCGATGTGGTCAAAATATGACAATCGTTTGCTCAATTTTTATGATCTCACTGACCTCTAAATTTTTTGACAAACTTCCAACGTCTCTGCTAATATATTTGGGAATAACAACGGGTTTTGCCGCTTCGTATTTGTTTTTGGTACTGAGTGCGTTCTTCGCTTATTCAAAATTTCAGTCTGAGGGGTCGCCGTTGGTAGAAGACAGACCAGAAGAAGCGCTTGTTTTCTCGTTTGCCCAGGTTCTCTCGGCCGTCTTCGGTTCCTTTGCTCATGGTGCCAATGACGTGAGTAATGCCATTGGTCCCGTAGCAGGCCTCTGGCTAGTGGCTGTTACTGGTGACCCTCTGAACTCCGATCCAGCTCCTGTCTGGATTCTTCTCTATGGTGGTGTCGGCATCTCATTTGGTCTCTGGATTTGGGGACGAAAAGTCATGGAGACCGTGGGAACGGATCTAACCACCATCACCCCGTCCAGGTTCGTACTCCTTTACGAATTTAAGCGTTGTATCCGGTGGTCAGTTAGGAGAGGCAAACATAAACATGAGCCAAGTGCACATCGTAGTTGTAGCTGTTGCTTTACTTCGTGTTATGAAACACACGTTACAAACATGGGAGCAACTGTGCCTTTATGTAGTTAAAATCAATAGTTTAAGCATCGTCATGTATTTTTAATCCTCTTGTTACTTGTCTCATCGAAACTTCCCACTTGATGTGCTTTTTGGTCTCAAAGCATTTGAATTTAGTTTCTTAGTATCTTGCCCGCTTAATATCGATTCAAGACGGTCTTTTGTAAATATTGCTATTGGTCATGCAGCATGGTTGCTTATTTTTCTCTTTTGGCAAAAACTTGAGCTCACCTCTTACGTTGATTGATAAACTAAGACTTAGTTTTAACCTAGATGTCCCATATTATTTATGGCGTAATTTAAGGTTATTAGCGAGAATTTATAATCCCAAGAGACAGAATTCAACCATATAATGAGTGTCACAATGCCCCAGATTTCGTGGGAGTGTAAATGCTGTCTTCGGTCAACATAATCCGTCGGCGCTGAAGAATAAAAGTTTATTTAAACGTGGAGCTAGGGATTTCTAAAATAGAGCCTTGTTTGTGCAGCTATTCACAAGGAATGTAATTGTTTGCATAATCACAACTGGGTTTAAAATTAATTATTCTCTGAATAGCAGTCCTAAAATTTTTTATTTAAAACCATAAAGTCGCAAGCCAACTCACTATTTTCTAGATATACTCGAAATTATGTAAGTAATGATCAACCCTTTTCGATAAGAATGGAAGGAAGTAGAGGCCGTTCTTTTACTTACAGTTAGATAACTTTGTCCAGAACTGTTTTTGTTTTGCCATGGTGATCTCCCTACTTGTCTGCTGTCGTCATATAATTGGCAGAACTGCTGTCCCCCTCATTTATTTCGCTTTGGGTGGCGGATTTAAGTCCGTTGAGGAAGCAATACAAATGATTTTACATGTTCCAGTTAGTCAGTGGCTCTCAATACTCTTACAGGAAGATTCTCCAATTTACCATGATGAAAACTAACGTTTTGCATTATCTACTTTTTGAAGTATTTAGTTTTGTAGACAAAAAGGGAACATGGAAATTATAATCATGTCTCCCTTTTTTAAATCACCTAATTATTGTTTACGTTGGAGAACGGTCACTCCACAACTAGGCTTCATGTGTCTATTGCTTCCTTGATGGTCGCTTTGTTTACAGATGGAAGGGTCTGTAGTCTGGGGTTTTGTTTAAGTGACTTTATGCTAAAATGTGGTGTGGCTGGTCATATTGGTGTACCAGTTAAGCAGGTATCGTCAGCCGTATAGTTTTTTTTTACTGAAAAGACTGAAAGAGAAGGGGGCATGGCAACTTGGGATGCTAATTTGCACCTTCGTAGCGGTAAAACGTATGTCAGGATAATATCGTTGGTGCTTTAACCATGAGACTCCTATTAGACGTATGTGGCTGAGGAATTTGTAGAAGAGTTTTAAAAAAATTACCAGGTGGAAACCAGAAGTTACAAAGCTTAAGTAATGCGTGTAATATTGTAAGAATCGAAATAACGATCTTTTCGTTTTGCACCTCTTCTAAATTTGATATCCAATTACTTGAGTTTCGCGTCAGTTAACTAAGGTCTCAATAAATCAATGAGACGGCTCTTGAACAGTTTGCGTCGATTTTTCTGCACAACCCAGTTAGAGAGTTAGAAGTTTGTCAATGCAAGAAACAGCCTGAATCAACATATATAAGTATTTAGGTCTGTACTGATTAGCATCTCGGAGGCTGGCCGAGCGGTTTTCTTGTCGTGATTGTTTTGACGTTTTTTTGCTGATACCTGTGTACCACCTAATTGGCCCGTTGAACCCAGACATTAGTGCTTTCTCCTTTTGGCGAAAAGTCACACGCAGGTACCCTAAGGCCTGGCACTTGGTTTAGCTTGAAAAGAAAAAAGATTGGTTTTTCTGCGAAAATTCCTGTGAGCGCCTTGGGCATGGCGTTGGTGGGAGATGGCGGTGGACGTGCAGAGTTGGTTACTAGAGCTCGTGGTCCAGGTCACTGTGGTGTGAAAATAAACGTGGTTCACATAGGCCATTAATGTACGGCGTTGTTTCAAATTCATGGTAAAAGTACAGATACGAACCTGTTTAGTTGACTAAGGCAGTAGGCTGCGTTCAACCCATTTTTATGATTTTAGCTTGCTTCGACAAGTTTAATTCAGCATACCAGGAGGTGCCAATCGACTTCATGTATTTTCATAGGTACACTTGACCTGTCGTTTATCTAAGTCAACCGTTCCTTTCCTGCTTTTTCATTCCTCTGTGTCTACGAGTTCTGACAAGTAAACAAGTGCTGTTTACTTATCCTTCCTTCCTCCGCGCGTATTACATGCCAAGAAAAGCAACAGAGGCAGTTTGGAATGTTTTAAAATGTAAACGTGTCTTCCCAAGCATGAGGCATTGATTTACATTTCTAATACAATAACAAGTTATTTTGGAATGCAAATTTGATGGTGTGGGCGCTCGTGGAGCACTATTCGCCGAGTGAGGAAATTCTGAATTCAGGTTTAATTAATTGTGAGTAGGCAGTTGGCTCTGTGCCCGGTGAATGACTGGTAACCGTTTATTATATTTTTTTTGTCAAAGTTGATCCCGCGTTAACTTACAAGCTGGTTTAGTCTCAACTACACTTCCCGACCGAACTGAATTCTAGCTACCTAGGTCTTTAGTATTTGTAAATTCCGCCACTCTGATTGTTTTCACTCTTATAATTAGAAAGCAGTTTGTTTTTCTGATCGTCCAAGTGATTCTCAAACTCATTCGATGTATTTTGTTTTTCCCATTTTAAGATTTCGTCCTGGATGAAGGTCAGACTTCAGGCTGTTCAATATACTCCTCAATATCACAATTCTACTGCAAAGGGAAATTGCCTTTATAACAATTTTCAAAGTTAATTTTTTTTTCAGTGGCATGTGCATAGAGCTCGGATCAGCCATAACGGTACTTGTAGCGAGCAACTTGGGCATTCCCGTATCGACGACGCACTGCAAGGTCGGCTCCGTTGTCTGCGTGGGTCGCATTAGGTCCAAGTCAAATGTCAACTGGAAACTCTTCCTCAACATTGTGATTGCCTGGGTAGTCACCCTTCCGGTTTCAGCAGGCCTTTCGTCCCTCATCATGTTCGCATTTATTAGAACCCTGCCTATTTTGTGAATTTCATCGATCAATTTTTAATACCAGTGTTTTGATCCCAATCAGTCCTCTCATATACTAGCCTATATTTGTTCCATTGACCTCATCTTTGAACTTTCATTTTTTATCAAAGTCGATTTACAAATAACATAAATTTAGTACAAGAAGTTGTCTTTTGCACTAAATGACTCAGAAGTTGTGTTTACTGATCCTAATGTTTGCCAAATTGGGTTTTAGGACCATAGTTCTCCAAACAATTTGCAGACCGTAGTCTGTTTGACCGCCAAATCTGAAAGCCTCACTTTTTAAATGATTAGAAACTTGTCAGTTTTAGTTGATTTTGTGGTTGTTATGACGAACTGCATATTTTCAACAATGGCTGACCTTGCTTTTGCTGAGGAATTTGTATATTTCGTGATTTTGCATTGTATCCTCTTGAACTGGAAGTTTTTGGTCTACCAGAGCACCCAAGTACGCAGGTACAAATGAGTTAAATGTGTCTCGTAAGTAAACTACTCAACAAGAATTTATGATTAGTGTCAAAAAGATTGATGTTAATTGTCTAAGAATGATACCTTTTTAAAAAGTGCATCTTACTTCTTCTGCAGCACAATAACTTGTGAAAGATTAAAGTCGAAGACACTTAAAGAACAAACTAGGTGAAACAGTTGAGGTAACATTGCAGATAAGTGAGCGATTTCATGATTCACATCATCAGGCAAAAACAAATTTCCTTATTGTCCTGCATTCTAAATGATGCTCAAAGGGGTAATTTTCCAATCGCGCCTCATGTTGTTTCCTCACATTAAAAAAAATCCTTAAGGTTTTTCTTAGTTTTACACATGATTCTAACATGCCTGGTCCATTCAAAGTTCAAAGGTATGATCACACCTTACAGTTAACTTTTTTTCGGTGAATTCATGTTTTTGCGTGGTTAGGTCCAAGGTCTCATTGTACAGTAATTAGAACCATCTCATATACCTTTCGCATCCAACTTGGGGGCTTTGCAATTCATTAAATAGGAGCGGATTTGTTGATGTGACCTCGGAATATCATTCCGAATTTTCTAGCTTTACAATTGATTATCGATCTTACATATGCCATCGACCGCATTGGCGCAATTGTGAATAGCGTTGGTTCACACTCGTCAATCCAGTCACTCCAGCCTCCGAAACACGGTCCCCATTTCGCAGTATGTCGGCAGCCGGTCGGATGCTCAACTCCACCCTCATTAGCGCAAACGATTATCCCAGGTTTTCCTCACACCTAGGTCTCAATGCTAACACATCTATGATTCACGCACCTGAGGTTTAAGTACACACGCGCCAATGCCACACCCGACACAACAACACCAATTGGGTTGATCTCTGAAGTAAGCAGTTGTGACCGCGTCCGCCCCGGTCCTCTTCATCGTGGGTAGCAGGGAAGCGTAATGGGGCAAAGTGCAACCCAGTGACCCCGGAGTGGTTCAAGACCACATCCTAGGGCCCACAACAATGCAGTGCTCGAAATTATCATCATTCTTGTATTATAATCTAATTCCAATTTGATTTGGGATTTAGCAATTTTTTGTAAAAGCATGCTTTGGACACCAACAGGGAGTTGGCTTAGAAAGCGTCTGAGGCAAGCAGGCAGGTGCTGTGTCGAGTCTTTCAGTGCACATATTGAGGCTCAGCAAATACTCAGGGTAAAATAATTACTGGGTTCATGCATTTTTTAATCTACATTTCAACCTTGGTGACAGTAAAAACACCTCAGTTCACGACACCAAACCGTGAACTGTCAGCAATCACATTCAAAATACGCGTGTAATGTCTTTCTGGTGCAACACATATTTTGTCAAAGTTAAATGTTTTGCTACACAAAGTCTGGGTGAGACCCAATGACGCACGCGCGTAGACGTGCCTTTTCAGACCTTAAAGTGAGACTGTTTTGTCGTCTGCAAGTAGCTTTACAATGTTTACGAGTGTTTTCTAAATAAAAAAAGTATTAGACCAGTCCAAACTTAATTTATAGTTTGCAGGAGTCTCATTCTGAAAGTCAGTCAACCGTCCAATGCAAACGTGCATTACACCAGTTCAAGAGCCTGAAATGAGAGCGGATTAGTTTCGTGTCGAATTTTACGCATCACTTTCGCTGATGTATGACAACATCGACTCAGCCATCCTCCACCACTTACCGTAGTGATGGTTCAAGCAGGCTCACCTCTTTGATTCTATGGACGAGCAGCCGCAAATACAATGGGTACTTTTTTCTAGCGCCATCAGGCACATGCATGGAATGCAGGAGGACTTACGACGAAACAAACGTCATTTAATTGTGGTGTTCAACCACTCTTTGTGCTGCATCCAATAAAAACCGTTTTAGCTAACTTGACGATAAGCAAATTTACTCTGAACAATTTCTACTACACATGGCACAACTTTGACTTCAGCATAGACTCCACGCCGTTTCTGCGTCCAACGAAGTTCATGTAATCTGTGTGCCCAATTCATCACTGACTTCACATGTTTTGTTGACATTTTCATGCAGAATATAGTGCTTTTGACAATTGGATGTTAATGAGCTTCACACATCTAGTGTACGCTCAGATGATTTTCCACATCGTTTATTACATGGTGCTCCATTCAGTGATGATGACGAAATTACTTTACCTCAGTCTCTCTACATGGAGCCTGTCTAAATACAAATAGAAACTTACTTTATTCTAGATGGCTAAATGAAGTCGTTTTCACATCCAAGTGACTGCGCAAATGAAGGCATGGAAATTAAATGGTAATTTAATATTTCGAGTTCAGATAGGGAGTTGCTGCCAAAAGGGAATCAAATTTCATGAGTGGTTGACAATTTTGATGAGCATCTTAAAAGAATATGCTTTTTAGATGCAAGCGGCATTTCAATGTGAAACAATGTTATCATTACTGTTTTAGTACATCAGCAAGACATTTAACAGGGTTGAGCGCAGAAAGTACATGCGCGTCCTCTTCGTATTCATTTAGGATCAATTTTGACGCCATCATCTGTGAGTGGTCGAACTTGGTAATGCATCTTGTGTTGCTGTTGGAGTATAATCAGGCTATAACATCTGTTCTTTGGGGTTGTGTGTTTTTAGTTACATATAAACTAGTATTGTTGTTGGCTTGTAATTGTCAGAAGACGCTGTATCACGTTATTTTACTGCGCACAGCTCTTTGTAACATTTGCGAATGCTCACTTTATTTAAGTTATGTGTTGCCTGGGATCTTGTCTATGGCGCATATTTGTTGCTAGAGAGAGTTTCTTATCTGAAATCTACCCGAACATGCTTTAAGCGCTCTAGAGGTCAACACCTTCCGCATATTTTGCAGTAGACATTGCGCGTTACGTGTTACAGGCTGAATACTTTCACATCAAAGCGTTTGTTGTTACTGGATTGCTTTCATGTCATTTGTTTTGTGCATCTAAACTGATTTTGACCGCTGTTGGCATTGTTATAACCTTTCCTCGTTATGTGTTAGTTACTTATGCATTAGAGTTGCATTCGTCACATTGTTTTTCAATGATTCTGTGTGCATTTCGTATCCTATTTGATAGTTTGCACGTGAATTAAAAGCGTTTGCAGTGCTTTCTCATGTACTGACCAATTCCTGTGTTCACATGCTTTATATTTTTATTCGACTTATTATGGTGTAGATTAACTGGTTTTGGATAGCATGCAGAGCCTTTAGCTAGGTTAGTAAAAAAATATAATTAAACATAACTATCAGTCACGTGTTTAGTTACCTGAGGCTCTGCATAACCCCTACTTATGCTAAAGCTTTTGTGGTGGTAAATCACTGTTAAAGGAAAATATTTTTGATGAAATCTGTAATTAAAACGTATCAACATGATATCCATATATACAATTTTAAGTTTAATGGAAGTTAAAAGCTGAGGATTAGCGAAATTTAAACTTGTGTATTTATACACTTTAACTATTTAGCTTCTCAATAATACACATGACCTCGGGAAAATTAGCTAAAATATATTTTCCCACTCCTTCGGTATTTTGGATATGGAGTTAACTAATTGTCTTTTGGTTTGTTCATGGTGACAAAATTCGATTTAAGAGTAAAGCTATAACTTTTACGTAACCAGAACCAGAGTGTCCTAAACTTTAAGTTCTGGGCTTCTAATTCTAAGAAAGAAAAATTATTTTTTTTTTGAGTGACAAAAATTGAAGCCACAACTTTAACGAAAACAGAGTGAGAGTGTCTAACGCTTAAAGCTGTGACCTACTAATTTTAACTGAGGCCAATGTAATTTGTTGAGTTCTAGATTGCAAAAGTATTTTAATTTATTAATATCACGACTCTATCCGTGATCACACTTTTAAACTCCATTTCCAGGTTAAACAAAATAGCAATTTTTTTGGTAGCTAACAAGCTTTAACCAAGCAACCATTGTGACTTCACATCATTTTTGAGCATATATTTAATTGCTAATCCACTATCCATGTCAATTGTGCTCTCCAATCCAATTTATGCTTATCATTGCACATATTAAGACTTTTTAATGCATTTACTTTTTTAAAAATCTTTTTAAAGTGTGCTATTATTTATTGTTTTATTTAACAGAAATTTGTATTGAATAACTTTATGTGTTTTAATCATTCAACTTCATGTATTTCCAACGAAGTGCGCATAGCCTTATATACATCACATTTGCGAAAATAGTGCTGTATTTATTATTGGTCAGTTTTGGGCGGCTCTTTTTAACTGTAGCCAATCACCAACTTCTACACCAGGTAATAAATAAACTTGTCTGGTTACACAAAATACATTTACAACTTATTAGGGGACTCAGATTACTTTAGCTCCCTCAAATACAATTACAGGTAGATGTGATTATGTTTTCAATGTTCTCCTCAGAAATTTTGTGTCCAGTTCATGTTATCGGTTTTTGCTTGTTTTTAACCGTGGAAATTAATTTCACGCTGCGCTGTAATGACTACGTATTCAGCTAATATACTCATAACACTTCGGTGTGTCTTATGTTTATCCCTTCTTCATTAATACTAAATCAAAACATGCAGAAGGTACATTTGTTGTTTAGCGTATCCGTCTTTCAAATACTTGAAGGTATTCTGTACATTTTTAAATTATTTTAAAATAGAATCTGTAGTACATTTTTAAGTCTCTACTTCTAAGAAAATTGCCATATTTTAACTGAAATACGTTTTGTTCTTTGGTGTCTTTATTTTGCATAATCACCAAGAGATAATGCTAATCAACTCATTTGTCTTTCCTATTATATGCAAAAACGTTCATTTACCGAACCACTGATGGACTGTGGAAAAAGAGTGATTCGGGTTTATGATCTTTATTTTATTTACTAATTAAATCTTGCAGTATCACTTGGCAGTAGTGTATTTTGCCTATTTCGTGTGTTCTTGTGTACGTCCCTGCAGGTGACGGCATCTAATACTCCAAAAATGAAACTCACCATTTTCGATTATCTTAAAGACAACTTAACGTTGCACACATCGACTTACGTTGACTGATGAGCCTGCAAATCAAATACTATTTATATCTGAAGTCATGTTTATATTTTCCAATCCGTAATAAATTTAAGCAAGAAATAGCATCATCCCTCATTTTTCATTTCCGTAGGCAGCTCTTGACCATTTTATCATGCGGCCATCAAATGTATTGGAATGTTTTAAGTTGACTTTTTTTACTCATTCATTTTCGTTGTTTTTTTTATCTGAGGCTCGCTGAAACGCAACTGAATTTTGGTGATTTTTTTATGTGCGTTTATGGGATTCATAGGTATCTTCCTAGAAGCTTTTTGCTGACTTTCAAGTACACATGCTACATTAATTTCGAGCAAATTTTTTTTATTGGCATGTACTTTTGAAAGTGTGGACATTCTGGTTTTCCCTTTGGTAGAATAGATTATGGAGGTACTGTCCTCTTGATTCCTGCACAGAACTCAAATCTTATGTTGAAGTGAAATGTCATAAGTATATCATTCTAACAAAACTTTATTGTAAAGATGGCGAAAATAAGCTTTTTTTTTATTAACTCTTTATGGTTTGAGTAAGGTTGTTGACTTAACCACTTCCAAAATCAGATTGTTAATTGGAAAATTTGACTTTTTTAACAGAATGATAGTGCTGCCGGCAACAGAACTCGTTATTGTCGTTGTGGGCTTTCTAATTGCATTTGTGCTGGCATTCGGAGTTGGTGCAAATGACGTGGCAAATTCATTTGGAACTAGTGTTGGTTCCAAAGCTCTTTCTCTTCGCACTGCCTGCATACTTGCAACAATCTGTGAGCTTGCTGGGTCTATTCTTCTAGGAGGACGTGTTTCGAGCACAATTCGGAAGAATATTATTGATTTGGGGCAATTCAATGCATCTGCGAATGGCACTGACCTCATGCTTTATGGTCATCTTTCCGCACTTGGGGGTTTGTTTTAAAATTTACGCAACCTTTGCCTAACCTTTGATTGATTGTTTTCAATCGCACCCTGTAAGAAATTCAATAGATAAACCAAACACTTAATTTGGTGTTAATTATGATTTATCTATAACTGGAGTGATATAAGCACCTCCTGTAACGGGTCTGACAGAACGAGATTTGAAAAAAGTAATGCAAATATGGGTGAGAAGTTTATTTGTGACCCAACCTTTTTATTAGTGTAAGGAAAGCGTTAGCATTATTCATGCTTTCATGTTCAGAATTGATAACGTATGCGATTTGGATTTTCGTCACAAGGAGTTTTTTTTGATAGGGCTTTAAATTAACGTCAATTAGCAATTTATATAATAAAACCACTAATATTTTTATTTGTGTGTATTAGTTTTAAAAATTGGGCTGGATTCTATTACTTTTATTCTTCACCTTTATCTCAAAACTCTAGGTGACAAAAGATCATTACTTTTTTTAGATTAGCCACAAAATAGTAAATTTTTTTATTTTTCCGTACATTGCCAACATCAAGGTCTAGAATCACCTATGTATTTTCTTCAAAACGTTTTTCAACTTCTTTTGACAAATGCGCTAATTGTTAGAAAAAATGGTGGAATTCAGCGTCAGACGAGTATCTTATAATTTATATAATTTGTGAAACAATGTCCTTGAGCCTGTCTTAGTAGGAAATACATTTTGTATACTGTAAGAGGAAATCATTACTGTGCAGTTTAAATCCCCTGTAGGCTCGTGTATTTGGCTCTTGCTTGCGACCCTTTTCAAGCTTCCTGTCTCCGGGTCTCACAGTATCGTTGGCGCCGTGATTGGATTTAGCTTAGTCCGATTCGGAAAAGATGGTGTAAACTGGAGTAAAGTTGGAGAAATCGGTGCGTGGGTTCTGAAGTATTTATTTTGGAAGTACTTTGTACCTGCACTAATTGACATTCGTTTCTTTTGTAGTGGGTTCTTGGTTCCTTTCACCGATCGCCAGTGGCGTGGTTTCTACGATAATCTTCTTTTGTATTAAGAAAACTGTCCTTGAAAAGGTGTGCATAAACCTTTTATCAGGTGCACGAGGTTTTCGAATGCTCGCTTTCTTCAACAAGTATTGTGGAGCGGAATTTCGTTGCCCACTTTTGTGTGAAACCCTAATATCTTCTGCGGAAACTTTTCAGTGGCCCTGTGTGATTTATTCCACAAGAACTTTGTTATCGTGATGTGTTGTTTAGCAGACAATTTTAGTTCAATTTTCGGCTAAATCTCAATAAGATTCTCTCATGTAGGACCTTTGTAATTTTAATACAAATTGAATTGGAAATATTTTACTCGTAAGCAACAGTTTTACGTATTTTGTCCTCGAAACAAGCTTACACTAAATCAGTTGACTGTAGTAGCATATAATTTTAGTCAGTGTATTAGTCAAAACTATTTTTGATTTTGAATTTAGGCGTTAAGATACCAGGACGGTCCACATTCGGTTAACTTTGTTAACACACGATTTTTTTATCTTACGTCTTTAGGATAAACCACTTACACCAGCACTAATGACCCTTCCTTTCCTCTACGGAATCATCATTGCCATCAATACGTTTGCCGTCGTTATTGAAGGACTTAAAAGTAGGAAGTGTTGAACTTCATAGGTTGTGCACATTCATAATAAATCTTTTTTACGACAGGCCATAATCGTAATCCTTTTTAGGTTTTGGTGTTCATCTCCCGCTCTGGGCAATCATAGTGACGCCCGTTGCATCAGGTCTTGCAACGGTTGTCATTGTCCTCGTTCTCGTGATTCCACTTCAGCGTAGACGTGTTCAGGGTACCTCATGATCGCTTCTCTGTCTGGATAGTTATCTTTTTTACTTTTACACATGTCTAAAGCAGTAATTTTCTGGGATTCGTGCCTCTTAGTGATTAGATTCAATGTTACTTGTGCAAATGGGGCCACGCAATAGAAGTCATTTTGAAACTTGATAATTTATCCCAACAGCTGTGTTCAAATAAGTACTCCGATATCTCTGAAAAGCAAGCACTCATGATGACTGACAGACTCCACCGGCATGATAGACCATCTCTAAAAATCAAAATGAAATTTTAAGAAAGGGGCCGGTACTCTCGTCTTGTGCGGGTTGAAGTATCACGGTGCAATCTAACGCCAAAGTGTGAACCTGTGATTACGTCACTAATATGCAAGAATATGTAATTTAGCTATGTTTTATCGCTAGAGACCACGAACATGGTAAGTCTGTGGTTACTACCTTGACGATAATTCAGTAGGAGTTATCATCTGTGTCGTTATAACTGTTGTCTTCTCAGTGCGTTGAAGTCAGTGTCGCAACCGGGGCTGACTTGAACTTACCCAACTGAGAGCCTAGATGTTACATCAATTAGATCATTTCTACCTACTTATGACGATAAATTCATCTAGTTTTCAGAGACTTCACCCTTTAATTCATAAATGTTGAAGCAAGTTAACAAAAGTGGCAAATCGGTCCATCAATGTGCAAGCTTCATTATTCAGCCAAGCTTTCAATCCCTACATGGAATACGTATGATGAGGAAGGAAAAGGTGTAGCAAATGAGCACGCATTTTGTTGCCATTGAGCCAAATCGTTATTGGTGTCATGATGTAACCACAATAATGACTTTTTGGAGCTATTCACTGGGTCGTAAGTGGATTCCTTCACTAATTATTATGCGCTTAATTAGCGTTATTCTGAAGTTTCGTGAAATATGTTGTTCGTGATGTTTTAGGGTTAAGCAGTGCGTGATTTTGTTCAAAGGAGGAAAAATGCGTCATGTTAGTGTCAAAGAAGAGGTGTGGTCAGGCTGTTTAACATCATAGACGAAAAGCCAATTCCTTACGTTGAACTAATCGAATGCTCAAATGATGTGAAAGGCATTTTAGTGAAGAAGTGAGTTGTATCAATCTAGGCTGTCATTCTTGTTAGTTTCTGTCTAGATTTTGAGCTGAAGCGTCCTATTTATTCTTGAAAGTAGCTGATGCCGTGAGCTTGCCGTGTCTTCGCTATAGTGCGACACTGTTTATTTATTGTGCAGTCTTTTGAAATTATTTTTTATATTTTGGTAGTCCATATGTACAATATTCACAATCCAAAGCCACCAACATGCACCGAAGACAACCAAAACCCTTGGAAGAGGTTTCGGGGAACAATTACCCGCTTCATTTCCCAATACCGCTCCCCTCCTACAACGCACAACTGCGTTACCAATCCCGACCTAGGTAATCGAAATTACTAATGGGGTCCAATTATACACTTTCCACTTATTTAACATAACCTGTGCTACACTTCATGAAATGTTTGGTAGGCTGTTCGACTGTTTGAGGTTTAGGGCAAGGATGTTACTTCCTCTTCGAGGTAATTATGTTGTGTGTTTACCAACATTTTGTAAGCCTTTTGATAACTTTTTTCATCCTCAGAAGTGGGCGATAGACATGTCGCTGTGATTTTTCGAATAATTTCCAATGCACCCAAAAACTCTTTGCTCCTTCTGCGTTGTTGTGTCTTGAGCGGTTACTCTGAGACCTCCAGCTAGTAAATTCAACTCTAAATATTATACTTTCTTGGAGTAGTGGAATGTGGCTGTCTCAAGGTTATTACGTAGCGATTTCCACTTTCAAAAATATCGACTTTCTAAACCTGCATTTTTCTCTTACCCTTAGTTTTCACGAAAATCTTTTGACTTTTAAACCACTGCCATTCGGTGAATTACAACAGCAAGTTACTAAGTAAAACGCGTTTCTTATAATCACGTTTTCGTGGACATTTTTGAATCGTGCAGAGGTAAGAGTGACGTGCGGAAAAATGGAGGACTTGAATTTCTGACAAACCCGTCAGTTATTCATTAAAGCACTTGAGAAAGACGTGTCAGGTTCTGAGTTTAACAGTCTTGTAAGATTTTCGTAAGTAGGCTGGACTGCGTTGTTACTTCATCGAGTAATATTTGCATTCTCTCAATTTTGTGTGTTTTGTATTGCCTCATTTTTCTCACAACAGCACGAGAAGAGGCAGAGGGGAAACCAAGCGGCGAACCCCTCGGACCACCAGCTCTACCAGCCACAGCTTAGCCTGGGCACTTTTTATCAGGGCTTATGCCGACCCAAAGTTTACGCAGGCGTCGATGCTAGTACCCCTTTATAGTGATATACGCCAGTCAGTTAAATTGTCCTTATCTGTCTCTTAGGTTGTAACATTGATAAGTTCGGTCACTTTATTTGATAAAAAAGGCTATCCACAGGATCATTTAATCGCATTTCTGCCATTGCCGCACATAGCCCCCTCTAACTTTTATGATAAATAGTCAATCTTATTTGATTAGGACTAATCACAAGTGGAATTCAATAGGTCGACTTCCAGAATCTCAACTTCCTGGTCTTTCTAATATTTCTTCCGCTTACTGACTCCTAATTCTCTGGTTTCCTTAGGAACTTAGGAAAAGATGGTCATTCCGGATACGTAAAAATATTGTTTTTATTCAATCTAAAATCTAAAGAAACATACTATAAAACTTGCCTCATCCATTGTAACACCTTGCAAGGCGAAATAGTGTTGTTCGTGTCGTTCTCTGGCAGAAATAGTATTGTTTAAGGGCTGGTATTGGATACGGATAAGACCTAGTCTTCATATTCCTTCTCTTTCGTTTGACACCATCACGATGTCGAATCTACATTTCGCCTCCGGTGATATTTTTTTGGTTATGACCACTTCTGATGATAAATTACATTGTCCATAACCAAAATTAAAGTCCTATGATTCCTGCATGAGGCACCATCTTTTCTACTTAGCTTATTTTAACGATTTTTTTAAGCCTGTAGTATTGCTAGGTCTTTTCCAAACATGCATTTTAACACATACCGGTTTTCCGTTTATACGTTCTGAAATAAATTTGCCGGAAATTTGGATTGTAGTTGATAATAACTATCCTGATTGAAGGAACGAAATTTTATGAGCTGCTACTGCGTCTGCTCTCTGAATTACCAAATTATTACCGGACTATTACATTATTTCCAATGATCATAACGTCATATTAGATAACAGATAGCTTTATGAATTAAAAGAGAGCATTGCGGAGCTACTGACTTCCTGCGAAGAGTTTTACTTTCAATTTTACCTGAAACCGAACTTATTTGAGTTAGAACCCAATATGTCAACTCGCGCTATGTTAGAACTGTGATTCCTATGGGACCCAAGATGCAGCTAACGAGGGAACACGTATATCCTGTGCCACAGTGGAATGCACCAAGTGGTGCCCACGCCACGCGCACGTGCGCCACAAAATAAAATGCCAATATTCACCGGGGTTTGCGTGCGTGCGTGCAGGCATCTGTCCACTCACGCCATTGGCCTGTTGGCCTGTGGAAAGCCTTGAGTTATTCCTCATTTTAATTGCTTGGTCTTTCAGAAAACAAACTTGCGAAATCCACCATCGGCGGAAATGATTCAGAAGCTGATCTTCTTAAAACTCTCGATTCAACCGAAAGCAGCGTCCGTGTGTCGTCACCCAAGAAGCAAACTAAAGGTTAATGGCCTGTTCGGCTAAGTTCATTCTGTTACATAAATTGTAAGGCAACGAGATAAGCCAGTGTCAAACAGGTCTTCGAGATTTCCAACTTGGCTCTGTCCACGAGCATTAAAGGTCCCACCGGATGTTAGCATTAGAAAACGAAATCCATGCTAGTTTTTGAGTTTCTGGAATATCTTCTGTTTTATCGAAAATTGCCATTGGCCTCTATGGCCCAGAGTGAATCTTGCCATCACCTGCAAATAATATGAGAGGGTTAAGCAGATTCTAAATTAACTTATGTTTTAACACCACGATGGAGTTCAGGCATTTTGGGATTTGTAGAATCACGCTAAGTAGGTGCCCAGGCTAAGCAAGCTTAATGAAGCATTATTAGTCTACGCCTGTTTCAACCGTGTGGTGAATACTATTGTGGAACACAATGTTAGTTTTCTCTTATTCTAGGGAAGAACGAAACAGGTGAAATTTCGATACCGACTGAGATTGAGATGAAAATCGAAACCCAGGTTGGTTCTTTCTTATTGAAAGCATAATACAATTTTTTTAATTAAGCTTAAGCATTTATTATCATAATTAAGTTTTTTGGGGAAATCGACTAAGTTGCCGAATTAGAAATAAGTGGTCGTGCAGCATTGACAACCTGGGCGTGTCTGAGGCTCACGCATTCTCTGCAGGTATCCACTACACCAGAAGCTTACTTTAATGAAGTGCACTTTGCCGAAAAGCGGGTGGCTTTAAACTAGAATATTGCGAGTCGAGTTTTTGGCAAACATGCCCGTAAATGAAATTCGATTGTGGGAATCACTTATCCCATCACTGGAATCCTTACGTGTGCGTGTGTGTACCTAGCCTTGTTATTTTCTTCGCAGACACAGGCTGGATTGCTTAAAGACCGCCCAGAAGAGGCGATGGTGTTTTCCTCCGCTCAGGTCTTGACAGCGATGTTTGGATCATTTGCCCATGGAGGGAACGACGTCAGGTGCAACATACGTGGATTTTGAGAGTTATCTTCTTTCGAATTATTCATTTTACATGTTGCAATAAAATTCAAAAGTTACGTTTAGAGCAGTGGACAGTTCCAGTGTAGAATTAATAAATTGAGTTTATTTTTTCATGTTGTAAGTGCTTTAGTAAACCCATTCAAAGTTGGGACACCCGTGTACATAACTCATGTGGTGTTAGCTGACTGGAAGTAAATTGGGTGCAGTGGACAGTCTTTGAAGTGTGCGAAAAAAATAGTCTTAAATATTACAATTGATCTGGAATTTTAAGCTATAGGTTGGGAAACGTGGCCTTTTAACCTTGGAATTGATTGAAACAATGTTAGGAAGTATCCGGGTGTCTTTATCTTGCCGTATTGTGTCACAGATACTCGATTGGAGGACACTTATTTTCATGTTTCTTGACCACGTAATTGCTAGTATTAAGCTACCTGCTTGTATATTTAGGTGTTTGGACTTTAAACTAAAGGTTTTTAAATTTCAGCAATGCAATTGGACCTTTAATTGGTCTGTGGATTCTCATAACTACTGGGGAAATTGATTCAAACGTCAACACGCCAATCTGGATTCTGGTCTATGGAGGCGTAGGGATATCAGTGGGCCTCTGGATTTGGGGCCGTCGTGTTATCGAAACGATTGGCGAAGATCTCACAACAATTACTCCTTCTAGGTAATTGTGGCTTCATTGGTGTGAAGATATTGATTATTGTTATTACCATTCATTAGAACAAAATTCCTAATGATACGATCGTTGATACTTGGGCCGAAATCCAATGGATCCCCTTAGAACGTAGCCAAGAGGTTTAATTTATATTTTAAAATTTGCATTGCATAAATTGGCTGAGATAAAATGTAGTGTTTTTGATTCCTGCTAAATTAATACAAATATGTGGGTTTTAATATTGACGGCAGACTTCCCTAAAACAGCCGTATAATTGTCATCGTTGAGTTATAGTTAAAAAAAATACAGGTGCCCTAAATTTCTACAGACGTCTTACACAAATGAATTTAGTTAACCGGGAATTTTAGTTGTGACAGCAATGGAATAGCAGTCCACAGGGCATTTCAATGTTGTCTCATCAACTAAGACGCTGGGTCTTGTAAATTCCAACTAGTCAGAGAGTTAGACAGTTCAAGAATAGGTATTAAAAGAGCATGCAACATTTATGAACGACTTTATAATTGATAAGGCAGCGCATTAAGTTTGAATCCAATGGCCGGCCGCGTAGGTGACTTCTTGGTGGCAAATCAAGCTGTGGAATAGGATGTGTGTATGTGTGTCAAGCTACTCCTTGACTTGACTGTTGACCATTGTGTTCATATACTCTGCTGGAATATTTAATTACCAACTTTATAAGTGGCCTTCTGAGAAATCGACCTGACCTGTTAGGTGTGTTCTCTTCTTGACATTCAGCAGTTGACGAAAGTGTCCTTCAAATATTACAATTTTGTTTCATCAGAATCGGAAAATCCTATTTTAAATCGTCTTGCATGGGATATTTTCCTTGCATTTTGGTAGGTTGGTCCTATAGAATCAGGAAATTGTTCGGTATGAACTCTGATTCCCTCTTGCCATACATTAATTAAAACCTGTGAATGCTATTCTTTTAATTCAGTGGCGTTGCAATTGAGATCGGTTCTGCTCTCACAGTTCTTATCGCGAGCAACCTGGGTCTGCCTATATCAACTACCCATTGCAAGGTTGGGTCCGTGGTCTGCGTTGGTCGCTTCCGGTCAAAGGAAAACGTCAACTGGCGTCTCTTTTTGAACATCTTCATGGCATGGGTGGTAACGCTTCCCGTCTCAGGTGGTACCTCCGCTCTCCTGATGTGGATCCTCACTCGACACATATCCTAGTTCGAAAGATGACGTCTTCTTCCCGCTTGCACTAAATGTCCATTTTCAGACTCTTAAGCTTGCTGATTCTCCGAAACATTTATAAGTATTATTGTTTTGGATTATTTGTATGTTTTTATGTCTCAAGGGGGTGTACCATTTCTTTATCTGAAGTCTCAAATGTAATTATTTTTAAAGTCAATTGGTAAATGCCATTACAAAACGGTTCGTCATCTTTAATGTGGAACTGAAGTCACTGTGTTTTGAATCTTTAATCATCTAGCATTAGTCATAGAATATTCCCCATGTTAATACCATTTCCGAGGACTTTTTAGTTACAAACGCTTCGCTTCAAACTACGGTAAATATAGTTGGTATAACATAACAAAGGCTACTTTTGAGATCTTGTTTATGTACTATCTCTTGATAGTACAAAGCTATTCCATAGGGGGATCTTGTGCACACAGTTTGCTTGTAAATCCAAAACTAGGTCACCGATTGTTGAGTGTGGTGGCGCTTGTATCAGGAATCCCTACCCTACGGTGAGAGTGAACTGTTCCGCGCTTGGTCGGCGTGCTCGCGCCTGCAATTGGAATTGGGTACTAGTAACCTGTTAACACGCACCTCCTGGTAATTATTAGTCCTAATAGAAACAAAACCATGTGCTGTATGTTGTAATCTTTAGGCTCACGGGCTGGAAACGTTTATTACTCTCTACGTGTACCAATATATCACGGATCAGCTCCATCATCCCTAACGACCAGATCAAAACTAGTAACTCCCACGTTGAGAAGTCCCTCACTTGTTCTTCCAAACCCTTGTATCGCCTTGTAATACTTGGTAACCTTGGATAAATACCGCTAAAGGAACTTGTGCTTCAGATTTAAACAGACTGCTATTATAACCTCAAGGAAATGTTATTTATTGTGAACTGCAGCAGCAATGATGCACTGTTCAAATAGCAACTAAGTATTCAACTGTGATCATGTTGCAAAAAGTGGGAATATGTGGCTCAGATGTACCTCTGCAACATTTTCGAATGACTTTTGACACTGCTGATTTTTTTCAGAAATTTATTGTAACTTTTTGGCCTTCTCAAATTTCCGACCGATTCATTGAGTAATGCTTATTGATATTCAATTTTATCAAAAATTTCCAATGGAAGTTGAATCCATTTGCAATCTTACCACGCTATCTTGGGAAATGTTTAATCTCCTTTGCTAAACTTCAAGTTATGTTTTGTAAATAGAGCAAAGCGAAATCTTGTCTGGTTTAAGTTTTTTATTCCAAATTTTGCGTACACTTTGTGACTTCTCGTGTGAAGATGTTGGTGTTTCCACTCTCTGGGGCTTACGGCAGACGCCACTCCCTCTTTAATGAGCTTGAAAATCCCCATTATCGAGACAGTCACGAACAGATTTATCATAAAATTCTACGAAGTTTCCTTACAGACAAAGAGGGATCCATTCGTGCTCACTTAGTTCATGCTGACTCCACAGTCTCCCAGAACCGAAGCTCGTCCATCCACTGTGAGTCCAGCTGCTTTCGCTTGGCTCCACGATGTGTTTTATTGGCTGTGGCTAACAATTAACTGCACTGTTACCTAGGGACTGGCCAATCGTCCAACACTTTGGATATCCTATAAATCCCTTATAGGTTGAGTGGAACTAGTAAACAATTTGTAAATTGTGTTGCCCTCTTTTACCCTGACATATCCGTCGGCAGTGATGTGTTGCTAAAAACGGAGCGGTCTGACCATTTTAATGCTCCTCGGAGTATAATACATACTTAATGTACGATTGCAATATTCTTTTAAATATAGAAGACCATGATAAAGGAAGTATTTGTAAAAATTGCCATAGCTTAAAATGATGTAAGTTAGCTAATGTGACATCCGAAGTCATAATGAGACAAAATTTAAATTAATAATCTAAAATGCTTTCAGTGAAAATGGATATTAGTTTTGAACCAACCTGCTACTAATGGTTTTGGTTTGTAGTCAACAAAATCAAACTGATGATGCGTAACCATGGTCTTTGCATTTTCAGACTAAAGGTAGGTTGGGGCAACTTTTGTCTCACTTATGCGGCCAAGAAATATCCTCGCATCTTACGATTCACGGGAGTACTAAATACCCTATCTACTCCGGTAATTTGATGCAATAATATCCACGTTTACCTCTGTGCACTTACCTTGAGGCCTCTCGAAAGGACCAGGGGTACATGTGTAAGGCGTTGGATAAGATTGCTTAACGCATGACTTAGTACTGTTGACTTCACACTGATTGCCTGTTGCTGCAATTTACAACATGTTAATGAGGGGCTACTGCTGTGATCCATGAAATAAATTGTAGTGGCAGTCATCTTTCACACGAGGCCTGTTTACATAACGGGCAGTAAATTAGAGAAAATTCAATGAGAACGGTGTTTCCAACTTGATTAGAATAACTCTTTTCATAGAGTAAAAATGAGAAATGCATTTATTATAGGTTTCTTAAGTTTGGTTTAGCCTTGCGGAATATGTGACGAGGTATTGTAACGTGATTCTTAGTTGCCTCACTTCTATCAAAATATCCTCACATTCTAGTTACATTGCGCTAAAAAAACCATGAAAGTAAATCAGTTGCTAAAAAGTCATGTAGCCTTTAAATTTGCTGAAAACGAAGAATTCTGGTATACTGAAATCTCTGCGTTAGGGTTAGCGAAGTTTAAAAGGTTTGTTTTTACCTTGGGAAACCCGAATAATTCATGGCACGTGATTTACTTGAAAAATGGCTTTCCGCACTTTCCAACATCATTGTTTGTTAAATTTCTCGACGGAGGTCAAAATCAGGCCATTCTGAATGAAAAACTCACAAAAACACAATTTGTCCCAATCCATCACGCTTGCTTATTTGTGTAAGAACAAATCAACATTGCTGTGTCACTGCCTGAAGTCGTTGTGTGTGTGTGTGTGTGTGTGTATGTGTGTGTGTGTGCAAACGTATGTCACTCGTCCTGCCTCATACTGTAGAAGTGCATGCCTTGCAGATACGGTGATTTTTCCTTATGTTATAATAGTTTTGTTCCAAAATGACCAACGGGGTTCCAGAAGTGTATGTACATATAAACGCCTTAGGATATATGTAAAGTCCACTTCGAAAGGTCGTGTTTTCGCTTCCTAGAATACACAGTCCAATTGACTTAAATTTCACTAGACGAGTAAACGATGATGTCATTAACATGCCTGCATGTTCCTCTATGCGTAAATTAAAATGGGCTGGTAGTGACTTGTCGGATACTACCGCTAACCAAATTAATGATCATATTACAGTACTTCGGATTTCCGAAAATGGCCCTAAAATCGAAGTCTCCGGGAGTTGAGCTACCACTTTACTAAGACTATTTAACTGCACTTATCTGAAAGTATTGTGTTGTTACTCCCGTGAGCTAACTCTGCAGAATAATTAAAATCCACTGTATGAATCCGCGTTGCGGGGTATTTTTAAAATAATTGGAAACCGAAATTTTTCGAACGTTGTAGCAGCTTTCTGAGATCCGGCGTTGTGCAGATGACAATTACATTTTCCGAACTATAGAGCCATTCGCCTTCGAACCACCACTTTGTATAACATTTATTTTCTTGTGGTTATCAAATTATCTGGAAGATTATTTGCATATTTTGAGTTGCACAGTATTCAGAACTGCGACCAAAAGTTACCAAACTCAGTTTATACATGGAATTAACTTTAAACACAACCATTTTATGATTTACCTCTCTTTATGATTTAAAATCACATTGGTCTTTTACACTCTCAATTTCTCTTTGTTTTCAGCCAAGCATCACTCTCTTCAATTATTCTCCCTCTAGTCACTATAAAATTCATTTTTTTTATTTTTAGAGGCTCAGGTTTCCTAAATTAATGGCTTGCTGACGCCTTGGCCTAAAAGGGTATGAAGAAACACATACTTGCCGTTAATGTCATCACAAGTCCAGGCTATCGCTAATACCTCCCTGTTGTCTGCTACGCTAACGTTACTTCAACCACACGTTTTTGCCACGTGCTACCAGAGGCTATTGATCCGCGCGTGATCGGTCGGCATAGTCACTAGTGGATTCCGGGATGCTTGCATCAGAAGAACTGTATTTGGTAAATACCTAGCAAAATTATTAGCCGCATAGTGCCTAATGACTCCTTAAAACAAACCAGAAGGCACATATACCCAAACCGCTGTAGCAGACTTTCTTATAATATTTATTTTCTTTGCGAATGTTATGGTCAATTTATCGCACAATTAGACTTATCGATCAAATTGCCATGGATTTCCGAACTACTGATGGCCAGATGACTCCATTTTTCTTCACGATTTGTGAACTTGAAGTTGGTTTTATTGACAAGATGAGCATTGTGTCCAGGATGAGGTGCATAGTGAAATTACGACTATGATTATGACGCTGAGGCAACTGCATAGAGGCCCTGTCAGTGGGACTAGCATTAGTAGAACGAGTTCCCTGGATTTTGGCAGTTATTAAACTTAGACCTTCTTACCTGTGGAAGTTTTGGCTTTGTAATCATATGCTGAAAATTTGGATTTGTGTGAATGGTGGAAACATTCGAAAGTTTATGGCTGAATATTTGTAATATTCTACAAATGGGAAACCGTTAATAAAACTAGCTTGCGTCTTGATAAGTACATGCCACTTTTCGCCCACATTCAACATATTTACTTATAACTTGTGCATCAGTTAAAGGTATCTCCCACTATTTTGCAAAAAATTCCAAATGAGTATTAACTTTTTTTGAAATAAATGTGTAATACAACTTCAGCCGCCCTTGCTTCAAAGCGTGAAAAAAACTCCTTGACTCAAAACTTGAAATTTGACTTCGAGTCAATGGAGGACTCAAAGGTCTCATTCCACCACATTATTGTGTGGTTTCATGTAGCGTTAAATTTTTTTTACAGATGACGGCACTAGGCAATCGGGTCACTTGTCATGGAGCTTATTTAATGGGTGCATGAAAGAGGCCAAAATTGTTTTTACGCCAACGCCTCTGACCCACGACGGAATGACCCGTCACATGTGCACCGCGCAGAGAAAGTGGCAGGGTGTCTAATAGATCTAATTCCTATTGGCAAACCCATCACACTGATCTAAATCTGGCAGATAGCTGGTCCACTGAAAAGTGGAATCAAGGCGACGACGTCTGTTACTGAGAATCCAAAGATCAAGTACTCACCCCCAGTTCCAATTAGATGATTCCTGGTTCTTAGAACTGTTGTTGTCATACAATAGTCGCTTCGTCTATACTAAAAAGCTATTGGGCTTTGTTAACTCCTGTGGCTATGCATCTGACTATATATGAATATTACAATGACGTTCGACGACTTGTTCATTTTTTGAACTGTTATCCAATTTTTGCAATGCATAGAAACCGAGTAGCGAGATCAGGTGCAAATTTTGCAGTTATAGTTAACGGACGAATGGGTTCCAGTCGAATTGATGGGTGCGGGTGCGTCTCGGACAGATAATGACGTGTTTGAGCCAATGAGCTTGGTGACCAAACTGAGGCTGAAAATCTACATTACTGACTGATCTCTGGAAGTTAACCACTGCAAGTAAAAGGGAATCACCATCTGAGGCTTAAATACAATTCGTGTAATTTGTGACCATTTGTTACCACTGGGACATTATCGCCAGCTTGGCCTCGTGGACCCAATGTCTTGAAGTAGCGGTTGTCAGTTTCTATGCAATTTTCACCGAGTTAAATTAAAATTTGAGACTGTAAACAGTATTGATGACTTAAAGGAGAGGACAAGTTTAAATGGCCAGACTAGTCGCCCTCGCTACTGCCCAGCCATTGCTTTTTTTTCCATCTACGTGTCACCAACTGCACTGGGTGGGTGTTCTTGAGAGATTGAAATTCTTCAGATTTTACCGCTATCCGTGATTGGTATCATATTTAGGTCATTAAGGATGTGTTCTTCTATTTACATGACGAAAACATAGCTAACAAACTAGGCTTGGTAAATGAAAGTTACCAAACCCCGGTACAACTGACGTGTCCAAATTGCTTTCACAATACCCTTCAGTTCGGATTTGTGTGGATTTCGTATGGCGTGCGTGGCACAGAGCAAACGTTTTTGTGTTTCTTACATCTCACACTAGCTGGATATAAATTTTGTATGACCACGTGTATGTAGATGAACGAAAAATCCATCGACATGCAATTTCGATATTTCAGAACTCGGGTTTCCTGGACAGATCACCGAGAGAGTTTGCTTAAACCCTACGTTTATAGTCCTAAATTTGCACAATAAATATTTTTCAACTAGATCTAACGTTACCAAAGCATGACTAACTTATACCATCACATTCTGAAGCATTTAACCTAAATACTCATTTTGCTAATACACCTTAAAAATTTCGTCAAATGGCCAAAATGTAGACAAAGCACACAACGCCTTGTCACTGACATATTGACTGCCGGTCCCCACTTAATGACGCTTCTCTGTCAACTGCTGAGTTTTGCATCCGAATGCTTACAGGGAGGCACAATCACTCACTTTCAATGTGATTCTCTACAGCTTAGAAGCACTAAAGTAATTTTAGGCACACGCCTTTGTAGATCAACCTTGCTGTCGAACTCCTCAAAGGCTTTATGCACTGCCTATAAGCCATTGATATTCACAAACGGGTAGTGGTTTAACTTTTATTTGAGCTTATGGTGCTCAATGGCATCCGCCAAATCAACGGCACCAATAAACCCATTTTAAAAGCGATCGTTCAAACATATTCTATTAAAATTCGTGTCCCATATAGATGTGTGGACCATGACGACACAGGGAAATTTCACTTTAAGCCGCAAAAATTTCGTAAAATCATGTAAGGTGCACTTTCTTACGTGCTCCACGAACCACTGTGTGTGACACTCACCCGAGTTGTAACCTGACTTCGTTCCTAAATTCATGGGGCAGCAAACTTTCCACGGTCTTGTTCGCCCAGGAGAATATGCAACAAGCGAGACGTTCGCCAGAAGATGCTACCTTGTGCATTCATTCATCCTGTCGCCATAAGTTCAGTCCCAATGCTTCATGGGGGCACGTCTAATCACGGGCACCCATTCACACACCTCCCCTGCCGCCCCCACCACATTCGGGTGTTTGTACATTACCACGTCCATCCAAGTTCTATTAGCCAACAATCTTTGTTTTCCATGTCACTCCTGGGCATGTCTGAGATTTGTCGAAGTACATGGCCTTCAATGCAAGCACAAGAGTGAGCCGTCTAGTAAACGACTGTCTTTGTCACCTGCGATGTTCCCAATCTTCTCGAATGTCACCGTAGTGCAATCGGGCCAGTAGAATTCGCCAATGGCCAAACGAGACCACAAGCTTCTCGAACAAAAGACTTTGACGTTATGCTGACTTCTGACTACCCATTTTCACAAACTCTTTACCAACAAGACACAACCTCCTCGAACAAATGAGTAGTGTGGTTCGCCATTTCTAATCTGTTTAGTATCAGCGTACAGCAAATTGCTTTGTCAACAAAAAAACATTTTTGCAGGTCTAAAACACTAACACTAAGTTAAGTCGTCTACTGGGATTCATTTGTACGACCAATGACTCTGAGTAATGAAATTCGTACCTATTTGATTTATTCTACAAATGAAAGGGGACGGCAAGATTGTTTTTGATTCGATGTTCAGGCAGGTGGCACCACGATTCACGTCCTTGTAAGTCAGGATTGTCACCTCTCAGATCTAAACGAGTCCACTGAATCCCACCAGCAGGCCAAAATGCCACCACCGAGCTAATTAGGACCTCGCCTGGCAGACATTTGACAGATCCCAATCGCGGTCAACAAAACCGAACAGATTCAATTAGTTAAACCCTATTTTAAACAGGTAAAAAGGTATGATTCATTTAGAAATAGCGAGAGATCACTTGCACGAAAGGCTACCAAGGCATTGGAAGAGAGTGTGCCCAGGAATATGCAGACGTATCCACATGGGCGTTGTCCAGAATAAACGACCCGAGGTCGAGTAAGGCAGAATACAATTAAGGCAACCCTGATCATGCTACAAATTGTACATTTAACTGTTTGCTCATTTGTGTGTGCTCATTCAAGGTGGCCTGGCACAAGTCCCGTGTCAACGCCAGCTCCGGATGGACCACAAAGCACAAACAACCGACCGCCTAAAGTGAGTGAAAACCGAACCAACAAAAAACAGCCTAGTCAACATAGAGATAGCCCAAATAAATGCGGACAAATGAAAAGCATCACAATCCCAGTGGGCTTTGAAATGCACACATTATGATACGACAGGCGTAAAAGAGAAACATGACAGAACACGATTTATTATGGGTATTTTAAATCAATGCTCAATGACCGACCATTGGAGCGTAAGCACGACTAATCGAAGATCTAATGCTGCCTAAGTCGAAGCATCCAGGCTAGACCCAAATTTTTAATTTACAACTAGAACGAAATTGTGCAAACGGGTAGCAAATATGTTTATTCGTTGGTTAGAAAAAGCCCTTTGTGGTCAAAATCACAGACGCACGAAGGGAAAAATCGTGGTATGGCAATTCTTGGTGCAAATCACCAATCTAAATTGCAGCATAGGAAGAGCTAAATCAGAACAGTCGACATGTTGGTGGACGAACACCACGATTTACCCAATGTAAGACAGATTGACTTTAATATTATGAAGATTGTTGTGTAAGATAATGTCTTAAGGAAGAGTGACGTACCGTGCAAGCAGAACTACTCAAGCATATGCGCAATTTCTGAAGTAATTATGATCGAACAAACGATAGCGGTCCCTTCTCACGTATAAAGCCACGTAAGAAGCAAAGCACAGGCCCCCAAGCAGCCAGATTTGGTAAGCTATATGGTAATAATAGAGCAACACCCAGGCAAACCTGCAAGGTTTGATGAAATTACACAACCAACCGGCGACATCACAAAAGATTCTCAATATACTACTATGCTTATTTTAGTACAATTGATTTATGCAAAATTCCCCAGGGAAGCTGGTTATCGACTTGCTAGCGTGACACGTGAGCAAGATAGATCGCGAATGCCATTACTAGATAGGAGCGGAATGTTGTTAAGTGCGGTTATTTGATTGTCACAAAACTTCTCGTGCGTTAGCAGTTTTCCATTCATTTGATTTTAACAAAAACAAGGTCTTTGGGGTTGACTAAACAGCGACGTTAATCGAATCTGGCCCTCTTCATCTTCGCTGGACGCCTCATTTCCACCGTGCTACAACGAGAGACTACTTGTAACAGCCTACCGGAATTACTCCAACATCGTTTATTTGTCCAAAATACAAACCACCCACGTAGTAAACTTAGCAACACGCATATCGTCGATGAAAGAGAAACAGGTTGAGGCAGTGTGTATATAAATGAATGCACAATCCGAAAGCTGATTACGAGTGCACATTGAAGAAAGGAATGGACAAACAAAATCTTGTGGTCGGGGTAAACGCACATACAAACACACCAAGACAAACAAAAGGGACGTAAGCTGGCAGCAGGGATGACGGCAAGCAACAAAAGGCACACTCTTGAGTGGGAATTAGAAGGAGAGGGGAACGTACTTAAAACTGAAAGCACTAAAATAGTGGAAGCGCAAAATATCAGCGACTAGGAGGGTCCGTCGTCGACAAGGCGAATGAGGATCTTTGCGTAACCATGCAACTCCGACTCCACGGGCACCTGGCCAGGAGCTGGTGGCGAATTCTACAAACAATAACACCCTAAATCAATTTTTTTTTAAAAAAAACGGTCCACAAGTCGCCTTGGGCCTCGAGCAGCGTTAAAGGCGTGCCAACTATCTGGATAGCAGCTATTTGCAACGACAGAAAGTTGCTGCATTTCGCAAGTCACCAATGCGAAGTTGACGGTTCGACAACGCGTCATTCGACTCAACTCCGTCGGCGCCTGTCAGCCGGTTAAGGCACCGCCACAGCCACCGCCACCACCACATGACCGTGTGTATGTGAGTGTGAAACGGCCGATTCCCTTACTGAACAGACATACTGCAAATGTGGTGAAGCGCGTAAACGCTCAAACCGTGTATGGAGGGACCCATGAAAACAGGAGAACTCACCAGGGGGAAGCAGTGCTCACGATCGCTGGGGCGCGCGACAAGCTCGCTCATGTGATGCGCAACTAAAAAGTACATTGCAAGACTTAAAAAATGTCGGGCTGAGTCTGAAATTCAAGAACGAAGGCATCACCAGAAACTGTGTGGTTCAGAGTAAATGACTAGATCGTATAACCTTCTGACAGCGATTTCTCAAGTAGGTGGGTGGCGACAAAGTATGCATCATTTTAGCAAACAAGAAACGGGCTGTTTTTCTGATGCTTTAAATTCCGAAAGAACAATGATGCCGGCTAAAGAAACAATCGCCTCACCCAGGAGGAGATCACAGCCATCAAGAAGATCAGCTTCAACAAGTTCCCTGGCCAAGACGTCCGCTGAATCTAATGCAAATGAGAAAAACAACACACGTTTATGTACAAATATTTGGTTATAATCTCATGACTCAAATACCAAAGAGACAAATTCAGACGCATTCGCGTTTCACGTACCATTCAATCTAAGTTCTACGTGCTCTGTGTGTACTAAAGAGAGGACTAAGTAACTGCTGGACATAATTCGCATTACACGTGTATCTGCCGTGGTGAATACAAGCTATTGGAATAAATACATGCAAGAGGTGATGCGAGATGACCACAAGCAAGAATGACATTCAAAATATACCAAATCCCGTAGTTTCGCCAGGCGCATGAAAGCGAGACAAAGTGAACAATGGGTTCGACCTTGTCGCAATTCGAAGCCAAACTGCCCCGAGTGAATTCTAGGCTAACCAGAAAGCTGCCACTCTCACACAGCCACCAAACTATCATCATCAAGACAGGGCATAATGCAAGCGTATCAAAACCTTGGTTACCAGCTGTGCCACGTCTACATCATCATCTAAAAGGTGGGGCTAGATGGTTGAAAAGCAACAATGCTCACCTTTTCCAATTACATAATTGAAGCTGATGTCTTGCAGTTCGTTCCTTTGTCGAGGGTTACGCTTGCGCAGAGTTATTCGGTAATAGGGACCGGATGGCTGCAAAAGTGACAATTAACGAACGTCTTTTACAGTACAGGCTGGTGAGCGTGAAGTGGTGTAGTACCTAATCGCATGATAAGAAGCTTGGCTTTGCTATTATAGACAGAAGAGAATACAGGAATCTACTAAAGGAGAGGGATCAAAAGAGCTGGATCATTTACAGATATTTGCTGGGGGCTTTATTGTCAAGAGTGAGCTACAGAGCCCAGTATTACACCTCGGCACAGTCCCGAAAAATGCGGCGCAGGCGTGGAGAGCCCAGTGGGTAAATTTCTAGTTATAAAGAAAAGCCTTCCAGTGATAAGATTGGTCATTAGGGTGAGCCTAGAGCCACAATTGTTAATTCAACGGACTACACAGCGGCCAATGACGCAGAAGGTATGGTATCTCTGCTAGTAACAGAAAAGTAGCAACCTCTCACATACGTAAAACGACAAAATTGTCAAGTAATGAGTGAATGCTGGACATCAGCATCTCCATGGATGCTTGAAATGAATATACGTAGAGTCGACCCGACAAAAGTACAACGAACCTCATCAGAATGGTCTACTTGTGGGAGGTTAGTGATCTGCCCGAAACCGGGGGGTGCCGTTTGAGGAGATGCGGGGGTGCCGGCAGGCACAGGCGGGGGATGCGAAGGAGAGGTCCCCAGTACCTCTGATCCTCCATGGGGAGCCACCACCGAAGAAGGCGTCGTTGTGGTGTCCTCGTGGTTATAGCTCGCGTGAACAGCCTCATCACTGTCATCGTCGCTTGGGTAGTAACGATTTGAGGGTGTTTGGCGTCCCAATGTGTCAAAGTTCCACTCGGTGCTAAAGTTTTGCTGAAGTAGGGTGGAGGAAATTGGGCTATGAGAAGTGACAGTGTTTAGATTTACCGGTGCATGGTGTAATATTGCCGTTATGAATAACCCAAAGCCAGCACTAAAATGCCTTTGGATTTAAAAGAGGAAGCAAGCAACTTTAAGGGTGAAGCAATCAGGCAACTAACATGAACGATAACATTCTGCCCGAAATCTGCATAACGGCGCTGTCGGAGTAGAACCAAAGGTCACTTAACTATGACCTTAGCAGAACACTGTACAAGTGACGCATACAACGCTTGATACCAGGTACATGACTTGTACAGATTTTTCCTTCTAACTTAAAATTATATTTAAAATACAAATATTTTGGCGGTCTTTTGTGGTTTCAAACGGGTAGGACGCACGGTTTTAGAACACCGAATGAAAAGTCTACGTGAGTTACATGACCTCTCACAATAGCAGAGTTTACGATGGCAGCTGATAAACAGCACATTTGGCACTGCATTTTATTCGAAATCCAAAAAGGGCAAATGCTTATAAAGCATGGGAATCAATTCGTAGAGTTCTTGTTGCCGAAGATATACCTTATAAAAGGTGTAATTATCGGGAAAAATGTTTTGAAAGTGGCGATTTCAATATTTGTGACCAGCTTTGCCCCAGACAGACTCGGAAGTCTGAAAATTCGGGCTTACAAGCTCTAGTGAGTGAAGATTCATCGTAAACGCAACAAGAGCCTGCAGCGCATTTCGGCGCCAACCAAACAGCTATTCCCAAGCGTCTACACCTAATGGGAAAACTTTTAAAAAATCTTGGAAGTTGGGTGCCCCCACTTGTGTTGACTGAGCACAACCTAGGTCAGCGCTTGAACACATATCTTTAATTGCTTGCCCGCCAGCAACAAAAAGACTTCCGGTGGAAAATTGTGACGGGTGATGAAAAGTACATTTTTGCGAGAATCCCAAACATAAGAAGTTGTGGGTAGGTCCCGGGCAACCCAGTACATCGACATCGAAACAGGACATCCACTTGAAGGAAGTTCTCCTATGTGTCTGGTGGGACATGAAGAGTGTAGTCTATTACGAACTGCGGAACGCTACAACCGGCAAGCGTACAAACTAAGCAGAGAACGTGGTCAGAAAAGGCCAGTTACTGGGCAAAGAAGCAGGCAAATCATACGGCTACCGCATTACAACGCTAGACCTCACGTTTCTCGCCCAACCCAGAAGACTCTCTTCAACTTCGGATGAAAAGCTCTCCCATGCGCGGAATATCCACCAGACTTGGCCTCGTCCGACTACCATTTGTTCTGGTCAACGTGTAAATTCGTCGAAGACTTTACTGCCTCGAAGCCGACAAGTCATAGAAAACGATGGACAATATTTCCAAGATTAAATTCATTGTTCGCTATTTTTTTATATTAACTAGATTTGTTTAAAAAAATATAAAAATTAAGTCATACACCTAATATTAAGTTCTTTGATCGACAGAACGGGGGTTCACGTTTAAATCCACTATCTGATTTGATGAGGGGCTTGATGTCCACCTAACCAAAAGCGATAGTACTTTAAAACTAAGCAACACAATTACAAATGTGTTTTGTCGTACTGCGCAGAAACGTTTAGAGTGGCGTGGGTGTTTCAAGACAAAACGGGAACCCGGTCATGATAAGTACACAATCGACACATCTGGTGCGGAAATATGGGAGACACACAATTAATTAATAGGACTGGACATTTGCATCCCAAAACACGGAACTTAGCGCCAATCGGAGGGTCACGTTGTACAAAAATGGTAAAGCCGATCCACCGAACCCGCATCACCTCAGCACGCCTCAACAATCCATCTTTGTTAAACTAATTTCCCAGAAATACGTCCGCCAGAAAGTGACAGTAGTTGCGTTTCTGGGGCCACATACCTAAAGTTCTACCCTTTTTAGAATACAAGTTTGTCGAACTTTCAAAGACGTTATTTAAAATTTGAGACCATGTAAAGCTCTTACTTTGGCAGCAATGGCACGAGTATGGCTCATATATAATAACAATGCGCAAATCATTTTTTGTTGGCTCCAAAAATATCCCAAGGACTGCGGTTTGTCACCAAGAGAACTCTTGTTGCCGCTTAAAGCACATAAGTTGATGAAAGTGAATGATTCCATATGCGTTTAGAACAACCAAATTAAATTGTTGTTTTTGGAACGAGTGGACTAGGAGCAGCAGTTTCGACAACCCGATAGTGAATAGCGCGTCTTCGCAGTACACCGTATCAAGCTTTCTCCAACCGGGACCCCTTAATTTGAACGTCTCATAAATTCCACTGTCCCGGACTATGAAAATCAAACATGAAAAAGTTGACGAGTTTTCGAAAGGAGCAATTTTTACAAGACACACATACTGTTGACATCTTACATTGTTGCATCTTTTTTGAAACTAGTGACGGTGCTATGGCAGGGCTCGTATTTAAAATCTGAACGCATTTGGCACCTACACACGACACAAAGATGGGAGTTGGGCTGCAAAATCCCTAGAAGTCACTTTCCGATTCACTCATCGAAATTTTTATTTATGGCTGGCCTAAACTACTGCGCGCTTGATTAAAACAAGGTTGGTAAAAGTGACCCAAGGTGATGGCGACTCGAAAATTAAACGAAACCTCACCACGAATCTCGGCCTACGCTGCGTGGGGACAAAGTTCGCATAATGAGGGAATTGGCGCGTTGAATGGACCAGCACACAGTTCGGGGTAAGGAGGGCATTTGCATTTAAGCACATCAATATTACGCCAGGTGGGACTGAATAACACACACTCACTTTATCACGCTTATCTGACCGGTCCTCATGGTGCCGATTCTGCTTTAGGGGGGGTGTCGGAACCTCCCCACTCAGCAGTACACGACACAACAGCTCCCGGTCCTAAAATTTGGAAATCAGAATTTAAGACAAAAGCGGGGTCTTGGATACTTTGCTATAGATACACGTCTACTGCGATCTACCTCTATAGGTCTACCACCAGCGGTGAGCAGAATGAAACTGCGGCTGAAGGCCACTCAAGGTGGTCAAAAAGAGGCGAAAATCTACGAACTGCATTATTTGCCACCTGGGTTAATAAAAACAGTACTAGGAAAAGAACAATGAGGCTTTCTGCTAACGATTACCGGACTTAATATGCCCAGAAACAAAAGTGAGTAGCAGATTAGGCCAACTGGAAAGGGCCTTGGGTGACCCAGAGATTTGCCCAACGTAAATCACGATTTTGAGCCCACCACGGAGACGGCAGGGAGGTGATAACTCCAAAACTGATCGCAAATTACAACATCTTCATACAACATTTTTGCTTGCATTACGCTCAGTGCCCTTTTGCTAAATCTAGAAAAAAGTGAAATAAAACTTTGAAATGATGAACTCAAGTTAATCCAGCATGGAATTTCTGAGGTGAGAACACGAAATAAGCCTACATGGTACCAAACGGAATGCCCCAAGACCAAATAACAGTAATTATAACGTCTACTAAACGGCGACAAGGTACACCATACATGTGACAGAATTTATGGGGTGAATCTGGGTGCCAGCGAGCCGCGCGTATGGTTGTACGCGGGACCGGTAAACAGTAAGCAAGCAGGGCCAGTGTAAGGTCGTATGTGTTTACGGCGACTTAACAGCCGCTTCTTAGGAAGGTTCAAGTTGCATAGAAGTTCCGGCCCAACTAAAGTTTAAGGGATATTTTTAATAGCAAATCACCGCTTTCATTGACAAAGATTGCTCCACAATAGATTAGCCATGTAAAATAACAAAAAAAAAACATTTTTTGTGGACGTTTTACTACCCAAGGTCTGTGCGAACAGGTATTTGGTGAAGGGAGCGAAAAAGTAAAACATAATTTCTGCTATTGACCAGGTTCTCAAAACTTTGGGTTAGACGCTTTGTGTGAGTGGGAATTGGGTATCTGTTGATATAGTAGAAACCGCGTATTGGGCGCAGGTGCGAATACATAGACAAATAACAATTTACATGAAATTAATGCATAAAACACAGATGGTTCGTTATGAATCTAACTAACCTTAGCTTTGGATTTAATGTATGAATGATTAAGTAGTTCTCTGGCAGTGAGGCGTTGATTCGGATCCTTTACGAGGCAAGATCGAGTGAACTTGCGGAATTTGTGACCGTACTCAGCAAATTGATTAGGCACCGTGGCTACCGTGTCGATATCCGGAGGGTCATTCTTCAGCGTCAGCATCAAAACCTTTTGCAGACAAAAAATGAGGTTGCGCAAATCCCTGTGTCATCAGTACTCTATGGCTGTTCAACGCGTGTCTTGTGCTTTATAAAAGTAACGACACACTACAAACGATGCATGTTCTGCGAGGAATAGCACATTCGAGTGAACATGTGTTCGCCAAACACGAGAGGAAGCTTAAGGTGAAACAAATAAGATTCGGCATGTTGCTTCCCAATTTAACTTAATTATGACTAGGAGTCATCTGCTACCAGTAGCCTTTGAATTTTTTTAAATCTGTTGATTGGGGTTATTCTGTGACATCATAGACTAAGCAAACACAAATACTACAAACACGCATTAAGTGTGCACAAATTGAGTCCGCTGCGGTTTAGGCCGTAAAGTCTACTACACCTGCACTTGCATCAATCGCACATGGTGGGGCCAAGTCATAAGAACGATGCGTCTTAGACGTTGACGGGGGGTTTTTTGTTGATGTTAAAAGTCCTCACAATTGACATACAAACAAAATATTTACGAATATTTGCCCCACCTAAAGGCATCTTATTGGTCATTTCAGATGCGGTGCATTGATAGAGGCTAGTGCGATATCCCATAATACGGCTAAATAATGGTTCGCAAGAGTCGCATTAAGCTAAGACGTGATAGAGTGGGGCAATTCCTGGCTTATTTGAAATACCGTTCTAACACAGTTTTCTTGTGGCTACTGAGCGACATTAGCGATAAGATGAGATTAGAAGCAAGGGATGTTCTTCCCGTCGGTGCCACTAGAAGAGTGTTGACGTAATGCACCTACACGGAACTGGCTGGAATGGAAATGAACATTACGATTGTCATTTTTTTATGAATTGTGTTAATCTGGTAGCTCTATTCTCCGACACAATGGCCCTTCTTCATGTCACGCTGTCAACCTCAATTCACACTGGATTAGTGCGGGAATTTTCATCCTGAATTATCCCTACATGTAATAACAAATGGTCCACCGAGGTCTCGATATTAGCACGTCTATGACTCACGATGTGTCACACATCTGAGCGCAAACGTCACACACGACACACCGACAACAACTTTGTTCAGTTATCTGATAAATGCTTGTGACGCCCTCCCCGGTTTTCATCCTCACGGGTATCAGGATATCGTGATCGGGCAAAATTCAACGCAATAGTCCCGGCGTGGTTTGAAGCCACATATCGGGGCTCACAACATTTTCAAGGCCTATTCGCAAAAGAAACTAACTAATAACTTTAGGCCGCAAACGTTCATTTGAATGTAACAATTATATGATTACGACGAAACTCAATGAATCACAGGGGATTCTGCCACATTCAAAGGCACAAGACTAACTCAAGAAAGTGAAAACCGGTGAGGTGTGCGTTAGCTCTCAAGGAAAAGAATAGGCACAACCATACTAGCAACAATAAAAGATGCGGGGGATAGCCCCATCAAGACAGATTAAATTACGTCGAAACTCACCTTCATGGGAGCAAATTTAGCGTAAGGAGCTTGTCCCGTGGCCATTTCAATAGTTGTAATTCCAATAGACCAAATATCCGCCTTATGGTTGTACCCTCCTGTCTGCATAAAGGGGTATAATCGGATGTGATATGTTATCAGAAGGATACCTTGATGGTTTTGCTAGGCGTTAAGTGTAGACAAATGCACACAATTCGCGTTTATAGATACCTCATACTTCGAGCCGGATAGCACCCGGTTCAATGATAAACTATAAATTCTCACACAGACACATAATCTAGTCTACGTGGGGTGGATACACATGGCCTATGACTACACTGTTACAAATTCTCATGCTAGAATTCATCTAAGTGTGCTGGTTAGACCTCGAGAATTCTGAAGTGCCAAAGTAAGTTTACCAAAACACCGGTTTGTATGCTCACTTGACGTGACTGGTGGCTGTTCTGGGTGCCTTTTTGTGATTGCATTGAATGTAGATTAGGGAAAAGGCCACATAGATTACTGCCTTGATGCAAAAAGTGTACCTTAACTACAGCCACTTATTCGTATTTTGGCTAGGTCGATCTGCAAGAGCCTAGACAAAGGACAACGACTGAGCACACTTAAACCTTTCTACGTTTACATTTGAAAACATAGAAATGGTGTCGTGAGAATGATTGCGATGCCACGACTGACCAAATTGGCGAAGTCTATAACAAAAGGAGGCAAATCCAAAGAAAAACACGAAGTTACGAAGCCGCAAGCAAACTAGCATGACGACTTTTTAAATCTATAAGTGATAACTTAAAACCTAGGAATTATTTGACTATGAGCATTTTGAAAAAGGCATAACCAGATAGTTTGACCGAGCAATAGCGAAACGGAAACAAAAATCAAGTTATACGCACTATGAAAGTGTGTAAAACAACAGGCGAGGTATTTTTCATTTTTTAGGTATAGTATTGTGTACGATTTAAACGTGTCCAAAGGCATGAAACACGTGTCCAGACTCGAAATTCATGATCTTAAAATACCTGATTAGGCAACAAATTTCCTAAATTTTACAATTTTACAAAATCAATTTTACAAATTTGTTTCTGCTAAAGCAAGACTAGGAAGAAGTTCCAAATTAGATAGAGGAAACGTGCTTCAGAGTGATGGTACTCAGTATGTCAGGAGATAGCCCTACCAATGGGGCAAGAACCCGTGAATGATAACACAGATTCCTGAAATCCAGGATAAGACCAGCGGGATTCAAAGACATTAGACCTAATGGAGACGCAAATTACCCTTATTTGAAGTCAAACTTATTTTAAAAGCCTTAAACTGGGAGACCAGAGATTGATAAATGGTAGAGAGATCAATGTCTGGCGCTTCGACTCTGGGACGACGAATGTCATGAAGGTTACACAATTTGAACTAAATGCAGACATCGTTAACATTCGTGGATGAGATTAAAATTGCCGGGAACTAAGCTTGGCTATTCCACTGTTGTGAAAGGTTGTATAACAGGGCGACTATGAAAGGGGTCAAATTTCTGCATCGCTACACAATTTTAAGCTCCACTTGAAAAGCAATATCACATAAGAATTTTGGACTACCTGTTGCATAACTTCTGGTGCCATCCAACAAGGTGTGCCGACGAATGTAAAGCGTCGCGGCCCCATACTGCCAGTTTCGGTTAAAGGTTGGCTTGCAAGAAAACCAGCAACGCCGAAATCAGCTATTTGAATCACACCATCGTCTTTTACCAACAAGTTTCCGCACTTTAAATCGCTAAAAGAAAGAAAAAAGAGAACATTTCAGCAATACATGGCTTTTACTAGGAAAAGCTTAACGATGAGCGCTCTGCATAGTCTCCTTAATTATGCTCTCACAACCGAAGCACAAGAGGCAATCGAGGCATGTTTGGAGAGGGACTGGAAAATGCTTCGAGACACCCATTGAAGACCATGACGTCTCAATCTAACGACGTCTTTTATCGAATATTCAAATATTTGTAGTCAAATAAAGACTGTCAATACGGGAGGATTTTAGGCGGATTGAGCTGTGAAAGTGAAAACGGCTAACATTAACACACCAAACGGATTAATCAAGGTTTTGAATCTATTTATGTAATTACTCAGCAAAGCAGTTTACCTATTCACCATACCATTTGCATAACAAAAGCAAAGGATGCAAAACGAACCTCGGATCGCATATTTATGTGAAATAACCAGAAAGCCAACACCTTAGTAGCTATGCTATTTAAAACCTCACCAGTTGGCGTCCAGTATGAAAACGAAGGTAGTGAGATCAAACTTATCTAGCAATTATTTTAATGACTTCACCACTGCATATCTGGAATTAAACATGGTCAGGACGAGTGCCCAAGTAGCAGTATAGAAAAAACATTTGACAAATATGCATTCAGCCAGTGACAGATTCGGCTGCATTTCTGGGAGGCGCACTTAGTAGCATAAGTAACATAAAATCCACCGAAGAGCGGTCAATTTGTACACGAAGGCATAATTCTTACTTCTACAAAAATTTATCACAGTTCTTGAAATAATCCATTTAGTCCATTAAAAGTTTTAAAACTACCGAGTTTACCATAATGATAAAAATGCGAGAAAATCGCGTCTTGGTGGGCACGAAATCAGTAACATTCCCTAAATAAACTGAAGATCCTAGCTAAAGAATAATTCTGAACTAATATAGTGCGCGAATCCAAGTAAACTGAGATACTGTTCTCCGTCAGATGTAATGGTACTGTCTATTTGAAATAGGTTGGTTTTACGCTTATGTCGGAAAACGGGCAAGGTGGCTACGTTATAGAAAATACTTGGGAAAAGCACACTAAATTAATTTCTACTAGGTCTGTTGAGTTGTATTCAACTAGGAGACAAGTCAAATTCTTTTGTGAATTTTTCCTTTCACCTATCGATAGAAGATGTGCCCACTTACCGATGAACAAGACCGTTCTCGTGAATGTATGCAAGACCACGCAAAACATCTCTCAAGATAGTAGCTATCGTGTACTCATCAAAGACACCGTATGTGATGTCTCTTTTGCTTTGAATGAACTTAATAACGTCCAGCAATGAACCTGAAGACAAAATAGAGTGCCATAGAAGTCGAAAATCAGTGAACAGTATAAATATAAGGCAAGCTACTAAACACGCAATAGGAAACAAAAACCTCACCTCGTTGACAAAGATCCATGACGATGCAAAGCTCAGTCTTATCGACAAATGAGGAATAATATGCAACAATATTTTCGTTTTTCATGTTTTTCATAGATTTGATTTCTCTCTAAAAATGGTTATGTCTGGCGATAAATTTACATTTATTTCCTCAAGAGAAGCTGAGGTACTGGATTTATCAAGATTGATTATCTTCATTGCGCATCTTCGATTAAGTGGCTTGCATATTGCCTCATGCACGACGGACGTAGCGCCCTGGCCTAGGATATGCATAGAAACAAAATTGTGACAAACCGATTGACTTGACAATTTCATACGCTCCACGAACGACAGGCCATTGAACATTCGCCTCAGTGGCGGCACCAAGATTTACGGACGATAAAGACATCACAATTGCGGTGTCTGGAAAATGACTTTAGAAGCTTCGATCACGTCAGTTAATCTGTGATCTAACGGGTTCTGGAATGACTGCACCTCTTCCTACAGAATAAACGCATGGTTAAGCCCAACTCACACACGTGTGAAAATTGCAATCACATCTCATTACGAAATAATAGGAATATGATATGAGCTGGGTAAGCGCACCACCCTAGCCTTCCTTTGGCCCTCTGCTATTACATATGCAATTTATCGGGCATTTATCCGCATCCCGCTCCATCAGTCAGCCCTCGGACAATTTAGTGAGTCTGTTCTCCAACATTGTGCATGACAAGCATTAGTGTTTCCACTGCATTATAATCGTTAGCTTTATTTAACGGGTAATCGACGCTTCCCACTTACCCCCTTTAGCCTATCCCCATGATCAATCAGCTGTCGTCTCACACAATCTCCTCCAGTTTATGCCCTACTTTACTGTACAATAAATCTATCAGTGCCATGTAATCAACAGTCGCCTTCAAAGTGACCAATCCTAATTAACCACCAAGTAGGAACCACATTTTGTCCTATGGTCAGTTTGTACCACACAATGGCAAGCAATATGTTATGTGATGACAATTACAATAATAAACGGCCACATAAACAGTAAAGGCGTTTGAAAAAAGCACATTAATTTTTATCGAAAAATTTCTATCTTTGGCAATTTTCAGACATCTTGCCAATTAGACAAGAAGCCCAAGCCAATCAACCAAATACAAACTCACGAAGAGAGCAGCACCAACCTAAGCGTCGGCCTTCACGCAGCCCACAATGTCAAAGCACTTGTTAAAACAAACAGTTGAACGTAAAAAAGTTTTTAAAGAACTAGGAATTTAGTTCTTATATGCTAAATTTTTGACAAGACGCTTCTAACATGAAAAATGGATGCGGGCAGCTTTACTGCAATTAAATTTTGGAGTAGACGTTAAACTACTACTAATAACTATCAGTTCAATATGCTTTTTGGTACGCATGGAAAATCTATTCCGAATCTAAAATTTATTTTAATTAGATCTTATCAAACATGGCAATAAGCCCTTAATTACATTTGTTTATTGGCACAACCACACGTCTGATATTTTTTCGCTGTTTTGATTTCAATTGTAACTTAAATTTATTTGAAGTACGTTTTTTGGGGTTTTTGCCGTAGATGCCCATAAATAAAAGTGGTGCTGCCAATATAAGTTGTACACATAACATTTTCAAGAAACAAGACCATTCAGTTTGTGAAAGTAAAAATCTGTCATAACACGGAATTAATATTTGTTCGTCAAAAGATGGTCTGTAAATTTGTTTTTGTAATAAAAAGGGTTCTATTTATAAACATAACCATTTAATTTGGCCACCCGTTAATGCATAACAAGAAATGTTCACGAACGTGATTTTGACCATGTTCGCAAAGAGTGTAACTGTTAGAAACTTATGGATGCATTCAAAGGTAAAACCCAAGGATTCTAGACTTATCGTCTAATTTCCTACTGTGACTACAAGCAAAGGAACTGCGATTTCTCTGAATATTCATGCGTTTAATATTGCAAGTTATCATTATTTCAATGTTTCAATAAGAGTTTGCCAAACTAACGTCTCTTTACGGTTGAAAATTTTTAAGTTCATTTTAATTTATGGAATAACGATATTTTGTCAAAGCATTTTTTATTGTTTTTTTGGCTGCAGAGACTAGGTAAGATAGTGTGTATACTATCTCATGTAATGATTTATTTATCCATTGTTCCAATTCTCATGGTTACACATTGCCGCCAACAAGTTGTTATTTTTTTCATGCCTATCCTCTTTTTGGGTTTGAAGGCTCAATCATAGGTGTATTTTGTACGAATTCGCAAACCCTAAACATGGTTTATTTGATCTACACAAGTCACCAAACATTTCGGGAGAAACTTATTAAATATTTCGTTAGCATTTTAAAGAACTTCATCTGCATTCAACGTTATACGAACCGGCATGATTGTATTCTATTTACTTTTTTTAATTTTGAGTAAAGCATGTAAATCGGTAAATGTTCCCACCAGTTCTTCTGCAAACTCCTGTGTGAAAACTCTTCGTTAGGTCACTGAGCTTATGAGGTTTCCATGAAAGTTCTGACTTGCCTCTCTTGGTTAATTCATTGGGCAAATTGAATTCCCTAAAGGCAATTAATTTTTAGCACCCAAGTCGCCTCGAATTAGTTGTATAACTTGATATTTCAAATCATCTTTGGCAATTTTTACCCTTTAGTTCTTGCCATTCTTTCACAATATAGGATTGGCACCGTTCTTTTCCACCCCTTTTGGGTTATTTTTAGATTGCTCTTAGGATAACGTCCTCTCCAGAATCTCATTCTCTCAGAAACTAGGAACGTGCATTCTTTAATCAGCCTAACTAATGCTGGCTTGTTTACCAGAAGACACAGCCCAAGCCAATCATGTCTAGGATAGTCAAATTGTAGATACAGGGGTAAATATGTCCCGTGCAAATGGCAAACCTCAACCAAAGAAAACTATTTAAAGAGCGTAACGTATATTTGAAATTTATGGTCGACTCACCGTGTCTGGGGATCCTTCCTGAAAAGTGAGTCAATCAAGTTGATCGATCACCAGTGGTGTGCCGGATAAAAAATAATACGTGAGCAACTACCAGTAGCCGTCTGAGCTACTGTGAGTTGCCAGTAAAATTGCTCTAAAGCAAACTCATTCTAAATGGTGCACTTAATGCATAACTAAGATACCAGTTAAAATTTCCTTTACATTATGAACATGATGTATTCGAAGGTATAGGACTGCACATTTATCATCTGATGAGTAAATGTCTGGCAAGAACTGTGGAGAGATTCTGAAATTACCGTTTTTTAATGTTTGTTTTCCCATTTTCACCTTGACAGATGACGTTAACAGATATTGTAATAAGTGTCTCTAATCTTTCAGGTTGTCAATGATTTCCCCTTTGCTCTTTTCGACGTTGCAATAGGAATATGTGAGAAGACAAGTAGTATTGTTTAATCACTTAAATCACTTGTCACACCAGCACAAAGTCCCATTTCTTGATCTGCAAGGCGACTCTCAAGTTTGTCAACTTCAACAGCACTAATGCAGCCGTACATTCACCGTTTACATTAGCAAATCCTCACTAGTCGTTGCCCATGTCCAAAGTATCGTGTGAGGGACACGCAGAAAAATTTATAGTTTTATATACCTATGTGCATTCAACTTATTGTAGTTGGCCTTTCACCATATAGTTGATTCCGCTATTGCCCCTTAGTAAGCTCTACTCAGGCACTAGATAGGCATCCTATCAAGGACAATGTTGCACTTATTAAATTGTAACGAAGGCTTAACTCCTCACACCATGTATGTTTATTGTTAAGTATTTTCAGAATGGTACAAAATATGGTTAAGTCAAAACAAACTTTCTGAAAACTGCTTTTTACATTGTCCTTGTGTGTTTATACATAAGGTTCGTATTTACATAACTTTATACCATGGTCAGATTTAATTGCAGTGGTAATTTGTTAGTTTAACTCAGAACGCAAATTCAAAAGGATATTATTTGCTCAAAATATGACAAATCTCACCTTAATTTGAATTTAGCTTGGCGTGCTGATTTGGTCTAAAGAAAGATTTGCTTCAGGGGATGTGACGAGTTTCATACACGGAGCAGGACACTTTGCAGCAGATTGTGCCGCATTGCCACCGTGAAGTTTACTGGACTGACTTTCAATCTGCCATCCCAACAGAACCTTACTCGATCATTCTCACACGCACGCACACACAAACACACGATTTCGGTCGATTAAACATGGCTTACCGAGCACCACCCTCCCAACGTTCTACCCGTTACATCTCACCTAAATCTTAGCTTTGAGCTTGGTGAAGCATTTACACTTGCACAGTACGTGTTTAAATCTAGTCAAAATATGCAGCTATGTTTGCCAAAGTGCATAAAGCTTCTTTTTACATTGTTGACTTGTTTTTTAACTGGTAATTCTGAGGTACATCAAAATATAAGCGAAGTGTAAGTAATTTCACTACCTCTGTTTCTACACATTTTACCGTCGAATTGGGCCGTTGTAAAATTGGGCTCATGGACACGAAGCACCAAGTGAAGAATGTAAAGACCAGCGGCGCTGGATACGACCGCTTATTGGGCTGCCAGGCCCAAATAGTACATTGTTAACATGCACGGTGTTATTCAATTGTACAAATATATACAGTTTATAAAGATGAAATTCCTGTAGATGAAATCAATGCTGATAAAGTTTTCGCGCGAACTATTAAAAACCCTGTGGTTGGCAAAATGTAGGTGTCCAGGCGAAATTAATGAAGCTATGATTTTCGCCGTTAGAGTACAATCACTGTCCTTATCGCAAGGTGTGTTGCCTCTTTTTGATCTTGGTTACATTATCAATAGGAGTCATTAATTACAAACTCACCGAAATAGAGTGTAATATCATGGTGTCAATGTATCTGTTCGTGATGGGGACTTTTGGAAGAAAGTTTAAATATTCTTGCCTGAAGAGTCAGAAGAATGTGGAAATTTTGGGTTTAAAGAACGTGATGTGATTGGCCATCCTATTTGGCCATTTCAAGGTCATCGGAAATAATACTTATGACATTTAAGACAGGCCTGTCCCGTGGATCCTAAAGAAACCTTTTTGTGATAAAATTACACATCATTTTAGTTATTGTGTCGCCTTTTATAAGGCCGAACTCACTGCGCGGTCTTGTATTGAAACCATTGTGCACACACACACACACACACAGTTTCTACCTGATCAGTCGATAAGTCCACGAATATAATGTGGTCAGGGCAATGATGCCTACACCTCGCTGATCCGCCTGTACCTTGTCTATCGAAAAGTCTTTGTGTGTGTGTGTATCTGGATGTGTGCTGGTATACGCAAGCGAGCTTCCATTTTTTTATAGTTGGGCGCATAATTTAGCGTCCCACCATGCATTTTGCGACTATTGTCAATAAACATTGCACAAATTTTTATTCCCTTTTTGACCACGCGTCAGTGTAGACATCAAAATCAGGTTGTCACACTCTCAAATCTTGTGTTTGCCTTCTGTTAATGCTGCTGCTCACCAGCACAGCCATTGGAAACCTACTTATTTTTCTGCAACTTGACCAGTAAGGTAAATAACTTAAAGACGTCAGTATCAGACGAGTTAACCTGTTATATGATTGTCATTATTAATATCCCCAAGATGCGCTGCGGTGGACTACATTCCTTTTCAAGCACCCGGTACCTTGATACTTGTCACTAATCGAAGCATAACTAGACTGTTATCCAATCCCCTGGTCGATCAGCTTAACTCACTTGCACATGATCGATCGATGCTCAGACGGCGAATTCTCAATCATGTTCAGCAAGCCCTCTTTTTAAGGGCCTTTTATGTTACAATCATTTGATCCAGATTTCAGAGACAACTGAAGTTTATTCACGGAGGTTTAAGTCAAGCTAGTAAAATCAGACTCTTTCATTGTGACTTCTGATTAGTTCAGCGTCAGAGACCTGGCGATCCGTAACACAAGTATAAATCCCATTCCCTCGAAATCGCAAGTTAATTGGTCCCTAAAGAAGAAGGCCTTAATGTTGGAATCCATCTGTACGGTAGTGTTTAATTGTGGTTCCAACCAAGCAATGGCCACTTCACTGACCTGTAGTGGTTTTTGCGAAGGTTTCGCCAAGTGTCGAAAAGTTTCCCCAATTCATTCCTGAACGTACCTAACACTGATGGTTTGACCAAAGAAAGAAGTTGAATGATTCCGTCGCTAAAAAACCCGCGGTTAAAGTAGGGTCCGACATAGGAGACATGACATATTCTAGTGGCTCAACAGCTAATTCGGTGAAATGAACTACGCAAAAGTTACTTTGGCACGGAACCTCCAGGGTCTGCACCAGCACAACTGGCATCAAGTTGGCCTCCTAATAACATTTAGTGTTACTAGTACAAAGTTATACACCAGTACATAAGAATCTACATCGATCCACTATGGCACTATGCTACCTGCGCCTGAGTTCTACAAGGCAGCGTACGATTTTGTTCTAAAGTCTTTTATTCAGTTTACTGACTTCGGTCAATGTAATTTATGGTATATAAACTTTTGGTAATACTTTAACGAAAGATATTTGTATAAGTGGTTCAAATTCGAACTTGAAAATTTGGAATATTTCTCAATCAACAATACATCTCCCACAAGCACTACACCTGGCTGGAATAAGCACAATCTTTCAATCGGTTCTCCTTACTAGAGAGGTCAACAAAAGTCAAATGCCTGGCCACATTCTGGATTATTTTGAAAAGATTTTCTTTAAGGTTTTAAAGACCTTTGCTTTAGTATTACATCAAAAAGTTTTGCATCGAGATTGGGTGTAAGCGTTGAGCACGACCATAGCCCTTTAAATACTAAATTAAAGGCACGATGATCTGATTTGTCCATGGCCATACTAACGAGGAAAAGAATTTTTCCCACAAGCAAGAACATAGAGCCTTAATTTCAGGATAATGAGGAAAGATTGGCTTTTGGTCAATTTTGTACCAATGGGATTGGTCGACATGCCGCGATGTCCAATCACGAGACGGTTCCGTGAAAAACTAAAATGCACAAGCTCTTGTGTGCACAGGCATGCCTTTATCCTCGACTAATTATGGCGCGAACGCGCGCGTTTGCGAGCGTAAAACCAATCGATAAACTGCGACTGCGCCACTGACGGATACCTCTTCCGACTTTACAACGCTGTTGCTGTCATAGTTGTCATGACGACGCGGTGCACACGCGCAGCATGCTAACGCGCTTAATCGTTTTGTGACGTAACGGGGTATACTTACAGCCCAAAACACATTATTATACTCCAGTGGCCTTTTTTGAGTGGTGACAGTGTCAGTGGCTAATGTCACACATGCATATAAACTATGAAATGGGCTTTAATTTTGGACTTATTTAAAGTTAACCATGTTACTAATCTATTTCTTTTACGTTTTGCCTTCTGAGGTCATTTTAAGGGGGTGTGATTTTAAAAGTTCCAAATTAACAGATTATCCTAGCATAATTAAGGCAACACTTGTCTTCATGAGAGATCTAAAGTACGTGAAAATGCTAACTGAGGTACGGACATACCTCAAAGTGAAATAGCAGAGACTGGTTTGGTAGAGCTCAAATCCACGTCTATCATTGGACCGATTACAACAGCTACGTATTATTTTTTATGTGGGTGATTCAGAATGTTCGAAATCACAAAAATTGGTTTACGTCAGTAAGCCGATTACGCAAACCACCAAAGGTGCGACTTTTAGTACGACTCACTAGAGAAAATAGTGAAATTTTTTTACAATGACATCCGATGTTTTATTCAGTTTGAACAAATAACCCAAATATTACTTGTGATGCCACAAGTGGAAACTTTAATCCCATGCTAGCCGATCGATTACCACCACCTTATCCTAATTCCTCCCTCTTCAAACAATTGCAACATGAAGTGCACAGTAGCATAATACTTTTAAAGCACGCGAAGTCGATAAGTGAGAATGAGACGCATTGCAACCGCAAATCGACGTATGTTATGGTAGAACATCGACCCAGTGTGGCGCAGTTGGGCTTACCCTGGTGAACCATCAACGCCAGGACATCGTTTCAGGATTACTTTAGGGTACGTCTGTATGTTCCACTTTATAGGGTCCTTCGATGCGCATTATCCTGTCGCGGTTACACGCGTCTACGTTCAGTAGCCTAGATTTGTAATCGAACTCATTGATATCAAATCAGGCAACATAAATTTGTCTTTAATCCACTATCTTGTCACCATTATTCCTGTTGTCACAATATAGAGCAATAGAAGGCATAAATAGGGTTTACTACGATTTAAGCAACTGCCGACCACACAGAAGTGGTGACTCTCCAGACGAATTGGAGTAAATTTGACAGGTCCGTTGAGCTTTTGGATATTCCTAAAGCACGTGTTTTGATGAAATTCTGAAACAGGGGGTTACTTTTGCTGGCTCTTCACTAACAAACAGATTGAACCTAAATGCTAGTCCTATCCAAATCCTAAGGCAGTCCGCGTTACCGACCGTGTGATCCTGTCTTTTCGAATCACTAGCTTTATTAATGTTAGACCTTAAACTTTCACTGAAATGAGCCTTACGTCGACTAACTCAATTGGTACTGACGCAAATGTCACGTAATTAAGGTTATTGATAAGCAATCGGCACTGCGCGACACAAGTTTAATAATAAAATAGTATTAGTAATAATAATAATACGCACACACATAAAGGGATTGAATCTCTTTTTAGTCAAATAAATGCTTATCGAGGCTAATAATAATTAACATAAAAATGCCATAAATAGTACTCCGATGGTGTCTAAACTTGGATGAGGTTTGGGACACCGTGATGATGTCTCAAGTCTCTCTAGGAACTTTAAAAATTCGCCAAATTACTAGGTACACATAAGACGAGAGTACGAAGACGCCCAATCCCCACTCTTGCCCATTTCCTAAAGAAGTTGCAAAAAGGTATCAAAGCAGTACCCCAAATAGAAAAACACACCTGATTAAAAACGAACACACGGCTGCTCAATTCCGTACATTCCATTAGCCGCGTGGGATCCCACCTAAAGATTAAATTTTAAAATTATTACACTACATGATACCAAACGAGCATGCATATTTACAGAGCCACCACATGGAACATTCGTCAATTGTGACAGCGTCCATCGTTATACGATTCGACGAGAAGCTGGTGATCTGTAGCTCTTGTGGCAAATGCCTTGCACCACGACTCCCTGTTTCGTTCCCCCAAATCCGATCTTGACTGAACTCATTGTGGAGCTCCAGAAAAGGAAAGATGAAACTGAACTTGTGGCTCTATGACACCTCGTTTCGAAAACAACAGCAAATTTATGATCCCCGAGCGATTTTGTCCCCGTTAGGTGTCACGTTGGCTGTCATTTTAGGCGATTCGAACAGAAATTATCACCACAACTTCATTTTGATTTGTTACATTGATTGGCGTACCGATGTTTCAATGATTCATTCTTACAAGTTAGGGGCCAAAAACAGCATGGCGGGCGAAAAAAACTACGTAAAAAAGCATCAGCGGCAAAGTGGACCGAGAAAGGAGGTCGTGGCAACATAGTCCCTAACATTTTGCTTTTCGATAGGTAGCCTCAAATAGACTTTACTTTTAGAAACGCCATCAAGATTGAGCTGACTTTGTAATGAATGCATTTATATAATTAATGTCGGGGAACTGATGGAGCAGAGTAAACAGGGAAGGACAAAAGTGTGCGCTTAAGTTGTAGTAAAATCAACAAACCGTTAAACAGGTGAGGGAAATGAGAAAAAATGATATTGCCAGTGTGTACACGGGGGAGCAAGAGATGGTGTAGATACAATGAGGTGTGTTGAATTAGTAGAGCAACCGAGGTACTACTTCTTGCCAGGAACACCACCATTACCTGCGGCACCTCCAAGACCCGACGCTGCCCAGAGCTGCATTAGGTTAAAGTAGGCGGTGGGATTACTCTGAATTTGGCTGAGGAAGTGTGTGATGACGGCGTTTTGCTGAGCTGCCTGGGCGGCGGCTGCTTGGGCTGCAGCGGCCTGTTGCTGGGCCTGTTGCTGTTGCTGCTGTAGTAGGAGGTATTGCATTGCCTGCTGAAGCAGCTGCTGTCGTGAGTTTGCACTCTGGTTCCCTGCACCCCCTCCAGCTGAAAATAAACAGAAAGCCAAATAATTTTAAATCTGAAACGTCATAAACAAAGAATCTAAGTAATTACAAATTTATTTGTCCCTTAATTTGGTGACAGCACACTATTGGCCGAAAGGTTGTCTCAAGTAAGTTCATTCACAGAGCAATAATTCTCGGTAAATCCATAGACGAAATCAGTTGCCACAGGCATAAAATGAAAGAGTACTTGGTAAAATGGAAGCTAGTTCAAAACTTGGTCAAAAAAATAGTCACAGTGTATTCGCAAGGGACAATAACTGACCATGGACACTAAATACTTCATATAGCTAATAACAAATTATGGTTAAACGGAGCATTAGGGCAAATACCACCGTAGTAGTCAATCAGAAACAATGTTTGAGGTTGGAAAGTAGGTAAACCGATTTGTTTAAGACTGTTTTTACGAAACAAAAAACATTAGCACATTACAAGTCATACAAACGCGAACAATCCAGCAAGCGCAAAAAAAGAAGACTAAATCGTCAGTGCACGACGTGTACACACATATCGTCACGATTCATACGTCCAATCAGAACCCAACTTTATCAGGTAATATGCTAGAAACTGGAAGATCTATCGTTCCCTCATGAGTACTACTCCACAAAATGACAGCAACCCAAACTAGACTCAAAGCAGCTGAAATTCAACGATCGAAAAATGAACAATGCCCGGTCTCTCTTGCATTAGGAAGATTACTTATGGTGGCAACAGAAAATACCGAGGTATTGTAACTGTTCACGGTCGTTCCATCCTTCGCTTGAGTAAGAGGTGAGAAAAGTGTAAAGGAACTGGTAGTAATACAATAAACCGCAAACATCTATGAGCTAAAATCGCGGATTAGACGTCTACAATAATCGCAAAACATCAAAAGCTGCCTCAAAACAAATACACTTACATGATAGTTGTAACCGGGAGAACTCTATCTTGAGTGCCACATCTGTTGAAAATTGAGTTATAACCTATCGTGACCAAAAGACCTCTACGGATAGCATTGGTGTACGGTAACTGTCATGTTCTAATTCGGTACGAAAGTACAAATCGGGTTAGAAATTGGTCCCCCACTTTGATGTTGGTTTTAAACAAGGAACTATCCACTAGGCATACCTCCTCCGATGAGAGCAGTGCTCATGAGGAGGGTCTGAATTTGGTTGAGGGCATTTGCTGCGTGGTCACTGGTCGTTGGTGTGGACGAAGCAGCGGCAACAGCCTGCTGTTGCTGTTGGGCCTGGAGACCTGAGAGGAGCTGTGCTGCTGCGAGACGTTGCTGCTGCAGTGCAGCTGCTGCCGCGGCTGCCTGCTGTTGCTGCTGGTTGTTGGCCACCGCAGCCATCATCAGAGCAGCAGTTGCTGTGGGTGATGTGGCAGAGGTTGTAGAGGCACTGCTAATGGCTTTGGCGTATTGCTGTAATGCTATCTGGGCGGCCGCAGCGGCCTGAGCGGCTGCTTGAGCGGAAGAGTTCGCGACTGTCGGAGAGGGTGCAACACTAGTACTGCTGGAATTTGCTGTCGCTGCAAAACGGGACCGCTGATGAGCTGCGGCTGCTACAGAAGTGCCGCCCACAACAGTAGACGGGGACTGTCGAAGGCCCGCGGTTGTTGTGTTCACTGAAGCCTAAATAGGACAGTGCGTAGAGCATAATGATGCAAGACTTACAGCCAGAAGCAACTTTGAAGTGATCTTGTCCTATAACTCGCCATCAGAAAAAGAATTGTGCTAGCATCAGGCGAAATCAAAGATAAATCACTGGCAGAAACGTAGCACAACAAAACGCATCCAGAACATGTTTTTATCAGTCTATCGAACACAGCGTTATAGTCTACAACACGGGGAATATTGTGTACGCACCAAGCTGCCCAGAAATGGCATCTTTGGATCGCATGACAGTTCATACCAACAGCTTTGAAAAATAATACTAAATAATTATAGAATATGGGTGGATTTGTTCACAAAAAAATCCATTAGCCGCTTTTAAGTTGTTTGACTAAAAGCAAAGTGGGTCCATTACCGGCTATAAAATAACGGGACCTGAATCATTTACTGCAACCGGAATAGGCACCACGAGCGATTTTTATGGAAATTAGGTGGAAGTCTAGTAGTGAGGGAAAAACGACAACAAAGCAGTCGTGTATATGAGTAACAAAGAGACATCTTCGAAATTTCAAAGGCGTCAACTACACTAAATAGCTGACATTAAGACATAATGGTGAGACAAAATATTTTTGATTAAGGAATACAATCACATTAAACCTGCCTTGCTGTTATAGCGTTGACTGTAGGCCGCTTGTTGCTGGGCGAGCTGTTGTTGTTGAGCCTGATGAGTAACCAGGAGCTTCTTTTCCTGTTCCTTGATATAACTATCCAGCTTAGAGGGAGTATTAATAATATCCTGGTACTCCCGTTCTATCTCACGCTCAGAACTGACGTGCAGTTGCAGGACTTGCTGGACGGCTTCTTCATACTCCCTTTTCAACGTTAGTCTTTGAGTTCCTGTTAAGCAGGCTTCGCACACAACATTGGTAGAACCTGCCTTCTCGCGCTTCCACACCGGTGTAAAATCGGTGCCACATTTTACACAAGAAAAGGGACTGAAAGTGCAGCGAGGTTCTGAGGGTTTTCCCAGATTAGATGGATCAAAATCCTATAAAATTAGGGAGTTTACTCATTATTCAAATTTAAAGCCGAGTTGTCTAAAACACTTGTGCTTACTTGAATGGTACGGACTACTTCTTCAAGACCCAATAAAGACGTAAATTCAGCCGTGATTGTACTGGGTATAAAAGCAACTTCGCAGAAACCAGTTCCAGTTGTCGGTGTCGGCAAACTAACTTTTTCCAAATTCCGCTCTAATTGTTTTCTCAAAACAGCCTTTTTAGTAGCATAAAGTTGTTCCAGTGATTGCAAGGCCGCCTGCTTTGTCACTTTAGGTGCGGGGATGGGAGAACTTGATTGAGGTACGGCCTGAGTTATAGCTACAAGATGATGATGTGTCCAATGAATACCTACTTTTTGGTTGTTGGGAAGGTTGGGCAGCCCTTTGAGAAGAACTTAGAGCGGACGTCGTTCTCTGTCCACTGGCACTTACATTACTGTACAAAGAATGAGAAGAATGAAGCGCAGATTTTGAGGCTGAGCGAGAACTGACGGCGCTATTGGGATTCTGGCTTTCACGCAACTTTTGAAGAAGTAAAAGGGCAGCCTCCTCCTGACGCAATTCATTTTCTAGTGATATCAATAACGATTTGACATCACTAGCGTTTTTCCCAAACGGTGAGTTCTCTTTCTCCGTATCTGAACCCAATGGCGTTGCCTTTTCATCGTCATCTTCACTCAAAACAATGACGTCAGAACCCTAAAATGGTTTTTTTATCGCTCAAATTGTGAAAAAAACGTACAGCAACCATATCTAGGGTTGGCTTGTGGCTAAGATCCAGGGCGTCAACTGTTGCAATCCTAAACGAAAATATTACCAGATTCGAAAACCACCTCTTGGCAGGTGTGCACATTGTGTTTTTTTCTTCAAGAGATTCCTTTAAAACTGGAAAGAATTGAAAACTCAGTCAACAATAAACCAGCTAGCAAGACATTACGCAAAATCGCATAAAGCAACGGACCAGTAAGAAGGAGGCGTAATTCAGACTCACTTCCCAACGCTAATTAAAACAAAAGAGTCGACCAATCAGTTTTAAAACACATCAAGCAGAAATAGACTGGATAACTTGGTAAGTATTTGGCATCGATTATGCTGCTGATATATTTATTAAAAAATCGCTACTAAAAATGCACTTTAATAACTTAGTTATGCTTACTTAGTAACAAAAATGTTTCAAACTTTATCCATGCATTTTTGTTATCAATTATGCCAAAGTCCAAACTAAAACTGTTCCCTGATTTAGCTCCTTTGTAAGACCCAGAAAAAATGAGTTTCAATTTTAAAAACCCTTGACTATTTAAAATTTATGTGAAAAACAAATTCTCCCATTTTTTGCAAACATGCAAAATTTGTGGAAAAACTCGCCAAGTCAACTTAGGGAATCAGGTGCTTTCTTCTGAATATAACAGACTTTTTAGACATCAATTTTTATTAAGTTTTTTAATAATGCGTAATTGCGATATTAGCACAAAACTGTAAACTATTTATTAGTTGCAATTCTGCATGTCCAAAAATTTGAATTTTGAATTTTATAGATGAAGTATCCTAATACTCTTTTCCTTGCCATTCAGAAAATTAGAGATATGTTTGACTGACCATTAACGTTTTGGATGTCAATGTTTTTCGATATCGGTAAATTATGGGAATTCGCCAAATTCACCAAAGTTATTCTGGTTTGTAGAGCCCTCTTTTAGCCATATTCTTGTTTAACCTTTAATTTTTTTAATGTTGTTTATTTTAAACCAAAATTCTACTTATCTTTGATGTCTGAATAAATTTCTACTCAGTGAAATTCACTGCAAATAAATTTTAAACAATATTTGCAATGATATTCTCGGTGTCACAATTCTTTGAATCTGGTTTTTCTCTTTAGCATGATTTATTAACACTACCGAAGTCAAGAGACAAAAAGCCCCTGATTTTAATCAGATTGCATTATTCGAGATTTTTTGGAAAGAATGCATAAATTTGTTATTTGTGTCAGTTGAAATAAATTTGAATGCAGATTTAACTATACATTGAGTCACTATAACAAGTCCAGAATTTTTTCGAGAAAAAATTTTATGACGGGTTAAAAAAAAAACACTTTCAACCAAGAGCACAAAACTCTTATGTAATTAGTCATTAATTTAGGACGAAATTCAGTAATTGATACTCAACCACTATTTAGATTAGCATGAGGGGATTAATCTAATCTTTGATGCGCAGTAAAGCCTTTCGATTCAAGGGGCTTCAAAAATTACCCTTCTATTACAGTTTGCATGTTCAGTGCTGTAACATTCGTTATAATTTAGACATTTTTGAGACGCGATTAGCAACTAAGCAAAGTATCAAAGTATCAACTTTTTCAATTGACACGACTAAAATTTAAGGAACCACCATTTATGTATATCGTGCCCAAAAAATATTCGATAAAAATATCTAAATGTGTAAATATTAATAAATACATGGTGTGAACAAATCATAGTCAATTTTCAAACGCAAATCTCAGTGCAGTAACATGAACTACTTCAACCAACTTACCCAGTGCCCGAATATTAGACGCAAATTATCTTAATACCCGTCAGACACGTTATTGTAACTTCAAAGAGTCACATTAATTTTGGTAACGGAATTTGCATGGCTATTAGCTAAGTAAAGTGGTAAAAAGTGCATCGACGCAAACCGCCCTTACTCCGATCAAGCAATAGATGCCGCTATTTCAAGCTTGCAAACTGCTAACATTCGGACCTTTCCTGGTCTGAACTATTAATTGGAATGAAGGAAATTCGAATCTAATGACGTTTGCTATTTTTTAACTAAATTTTGATTAATATCACAACTTTTCAAAAGTTAGGTGATTAAAATTTTGGCCATATGCAGCATAAATTGTAACAAGGCCGTTCAGTCTGAATTTGAGATGTGGTCATACATGTAGAGTTCTTTACTGCCACATGCTCCCACGTGTTAAATCTATTTATCTGTAGCCCCTTAGTTCAGTAGTTTTTTTTAAAAGACCCCTTGAAAGTTACTTCTTTTGTCATTATTTAAATTTCTTAACTGATTCCTCTTTAACTCGCTTCAGTCGTTGAGTGTTCTAGGTCAACGTAATTTCAAACCCTTTATTGGATAAATCAATACTTCTTAATATTCTCCTTCATATTAATAGTAGTCTTTTAAATAACAACGGTAGGAAGTTCTTATATATTGGCGTATCCTAATTTATAATCCTTAATTGTATCGGCCAAGTAGACATTAGTTAGGTATTAGAGCGACTATGTTTTGTGTCGTTAAGCTTATTTTCCAATTTACTCATTGGTAACAGTCTCTTTTAAGAAAATTAGCCCATTATCATTCAAGAGCCAAAGAAAACAAAACGTGTCTGTTTAACTTGTGTAAAATCACATGAAATTTCTCCGAAAAGTGGAGGGAGTTGGCAGCTTACTACGCCTAAAGCTGCACAAATGTTTGATGAGAATAATTTACTACCTAAACGGTGTAAGGTAAGTATTAAACAAACTTTACCACAAAACTCAGCTCTATGGTCAACTTCCATGCTTGAGTACTCGAGCACTTCACAAAAAACATTGATTGACCACTGCTTCATGTTGTTCCTGTTTTTTTACGACATTTTGTTTACTTAATTAAATAAGTAGACTACGCGTAGTGTGCTTCGCGAGTTACCGAAGCCGCAACAGCAAACGTTCTCTCATCCCATAAACACGTTCAAAAACTAATGTGCAACATTTACATAATGATTTGCAAAAAACGTTTTGGTTATGCAACACGAAATGCTGGATCATTCACGAAAGAAAACATTGATTGTCTTTTTATTTTAGAATGAGGCAGTCGTCAAATGGAATGTGCCCAATCCAGCTTTATGAAACTTGGCTAACGTTTCACGAAAGAAGTCCTGCATTGAAAACGGGAGCTGTTTTTGTGGAGTACACAAGAAGTGTAAAGAGTTTTCATATCCTTTTGAATTCTATTTCGTGGATGCTGCGCTAATTATACAAACAAATGCTAAGTTGTTGGAAAAATCATGAACCCGTTCCTGTAACATGAAAACTAGTTTTCAACGAAAGGGATTGGTTCGCAACAGCAAGGAAAATTTACGCTGTTTATTCATCAACTAAGACTGGGTACTGAATACGAAGTTCATAAAGACACTGTCGTGAATCGTGTTTAGTCCGCCTCCGACACAGGGTTCCCCATTTTCGCAGCATGGTGCCAGCCACGCGACTCCTCAACCCCCCTTAACTCACACGAATATT